GCATCGTCATCCCCAATCCTGAAGACAAAGTCGCCAGCGTCGCAAAGAACATTCGTTCAATGCGAGCAACCCATGTAATCATGACGCCAACGGTTGTGAGAACATTCGCGCCGGAAGAGGTACCAGGCTTGCGAAATCTTTCCCTCGGTGGCGAGCGGGCGTCGTCGGAGCTTCGTAAACTGTGGTCATCCCGGCTCGATCTCAACATCCTGTACGGCACCACAGAGACTGCTGTCTGGGACACGATCGCTCAAGTCACGGCTCAAAATTGCGACAGTTCTCGTCTCATCGGCAAGTCCATTGGCAGCCGGGCCTGGGTCGTCCATCCCAATGACTGGACCAAGTTGTCGCCCATCGGTGTTGCTGGCGAGATTTGCATCCAAGGCCCAGAGATTGGAGACTATTACGTCGGCCGACCCGAGCAGACGGCTCGCGTCTTCAAGTCCGCCCCGGGCTGGCTACCGAAGGGTGATATGGATGACGCCAGTCACCGTATCTATCGAACGGGAGATCTCGGCAGAGTCCTCAAGGATGGAAACCTTGAGATCTGGGGCCGCATCGATCGTCAAATCAAGCTCAACGGACAGCGGATGGAGCCAGCGGAGATCGAGGAAAGCCTGATGCGTTTCCTGCCAGGCAATTTACGCGTGTACGTTGAATTGCTCCAGCCGAAGAACGGAAAGGCAAGGCTAGCAGCCTTTGTCTCCTACGAGGAAGATGCCGACCCCGCCGCCAGCACACTGACGACGCATCAAGCCGGGATCCGCAAGGCCTTTGACGAGGTGCAGGCTGTGCTGCCCCGGAGCATGATACCTACCGTCACCGTGCCCTTGACAAACTTTCCTCTGACTGTTTCCAAGAAGATCAACAGGCTGGAACTCCAAAAGCTGGGGCTTGCGTTTTTGGACTCCAAGAAACAAGCCGACGCGCCCGAGCTGCAAAACGGCCGTGCGAGCTCAAATGCCAACGTCTCCAATGCTCAGGCCATGGTGCAGAGAATCTTGGACTTCATCAAGTCCAGGACGGAAGGTTCCGCAGGTCAAGACATGACGCTGAACGAATCGGGCCTCGACTCTCTTGACGCCGTCGAGGTGTCGTCTGGCCTGAGAAGGGTCGCGCAGCTCCACGTGCCAGCATCCATGCTGCTGAGACCAGGGATCAAAATCAGCGACATCGCAGCTCTGTCCCATGCCCCCGAGCAAAATGTAGACCCAAAGGCAAGCCTCCGGGAGGAACTCGTCAAGTGGACGGTCAAGCTCGATGAGGCCAGCACCACCGCCGGGCGGGCCGTCCTCCTCACAGGCGCGAGCGGCTTTCTCGGCCGCGAAATTCTCCGCCAGCTCCTATCCCATGCTGAGCAGTGGACCGTCGTCTGCGTCGTGCGCGGAGACTCCCCCGAGCATGCGCGACAGCGTCTGCTGTCGGTGGTGAGCAAGGAGAAGTGGTGGACTGCCGACTTCGAGCCGCGCATCGAAGTCTGGCCCGGCGACCTTTCGCTGCCGAAGCTCGGCCTCCGGCAAGCCGAGTGGCGCGAGGTCTTCGGCCTCCACGGCAGCACGCGCAGGGTGCACACGATTATCCACAACGGTGCGGTCGTCAACTGGCTTGCTTCCTACGAGGCGCTGACGGACTCTAACGTCGGGAGCACCTACGAGCTGCTCAGGGGTCAGCTGCAGTCGCACGACGCGCCGGGTCTCGTGTTCGTGTCTGGCGGGTACATTTCCGGACAGGAGGAGACGGTCGATGATCTGGCGTCCAAGATTTACCAGATGCCGGGCTACGACCAGACGAAATTTGTGTCGGAGACGATGGTGGCGCATTTCAACGCGTCACTGGCACGAAACAGTGGTGGGCAAGCCTGGGTCTTCAAGCCGGGATTCATCATTGGGTCGTCCACAGATGGCGAGACGCAGACGCGCGACGCCTTGTGGCGCTTCGTCAAGGCGTGCGGCCAGATTGGGATGTACAGTGAGGAGGATGCTCGTAAGTGGATTCCCGTCGCCGGCGTGGACGCGATTGCGGCGAACTTGGTGGCCGAGTTGCCTGTCAGGCATAGCGACAAGACGAAGGAAGTGTGTCACAAGGTGCTGGCTGGCTGCTATCTCCAGGATATCTGGGACATGCTGAAGGAGCTTGGCCTCGAGCTCAAAAACACAGCACACGGTGATTGGCTGGCGGCGATGAACAGCAGAATGGAGGCAGACGGCAGAGAGCATCCCCTCTTTCCTCTGAAGGAGTGGATGGTTACATCCAAGGGATTCATGGGTACTGAGCCACCGAAGGATGGTCGTGTGACGGATGACGATAACGCAGATGCGAGGTTGGCCGTTCAGAGAAGTATGGAGCATCTGATGGAGTGTGGATTTTTGGCTAGGTCATGAGTTCGGAGTGTTTTAAAAGCAATAGTCTAAAATTGTGTTGTTAGTTTTGTACGTTTTGCCATCAATACGTGCCGTCTACTTGGACCATTTCAGTTGTAATGGGGCCACGTCAACCAGTGCATGCATGTTCAACGCATACGCCTTCGGGTTCTTCCCAAGTCCGAGACGTCCGCTTGAATGTTCGTGTTTACTGGAGATGAGTGAAAGAAAGCTCTGCCAGGCTAGAAGAGTAGCTCCACACATGAGCTCTCTCACAGACCACCTGCTTTGCATACTTCACTGCGAGAAATGTTGACAGCATAACCTTGAAATTTCTTTCTGGCAGAAAGCTCCGTCCTCGACACATGTGAGTCTAATTCCCAGACCCAGGACCCTCGCGGATTGCGTTCCAGAAGGAATGAGTGGGATATATCTGTCGATCCAGCTGCATGAATAATCTCGGAGACGAATACAGCATCCACGCCGTCTCGATCTCCGACGTGGCGTCTCCGAAATTCCACGGAGATGAGAATCAGGGCCCAAACGGTTGACAGACTCTCACCGTATCGCATCGCCTCTGCCAGGAAAATCCAAGACTCCTCAGCCCAGTTGACAGTGAGAATTTGCTGTTCCAGGGTGGGGGTGGTCGATGGCGAGCCCCCACGCCCATGCGCCCCGTCCACCGTCCGCCTCACGGAAGGAAGGGATCGCGGGAACATGGACGGGAATTGCGTTATTTGGCGCTCGCTAGACTGGGATGTCCCTGGGCCCGGGCCCGCCGGAAGCATGGGCTCCTGGGCTCGTTTCGGCGCCGTCGTCGCGCAGACTGGACGATACGGGATGAGGCTCAAGTGAAGGGGAGGCAGGCCAAGGGCCAAGGGCGATATCGTGGCGCGGCCGGAGGATTATTCGGCGGATCCGCAGGCGCGTTGTGGGTTTCGGGAGCCCTGGATGTGGGCGCGCGGAGCCCTCGGCCGGGTGGTGCGGCGGGCTTTGGGAGTGCTTGGTCGGGCCGATGGGTGATGGCCATTATGAGCGAGTCAAGCGGGTTTCGGTGCGAGCACTTCTGCTTGTCGTGCTACGTTGCGACACGCGGGCAACGGGCGACGGTGGTGATGGTGAAGATGTCCGCCTGGCTTGGTCAAGACGCTGATGTGCGAGAATGCATGGAATTTCAGACAAATGCGTATGGAAGTAGCGGGACTTAAAGCTGGTGGATATCCAACTGCCGGATATGGCAGGTTGGAGGTAGCAGATACATGGATGGAGAACAGCCAAGCTCATGTCAATGTGGGTATCGATTTCTGGGCAAGGCATCAGGTTCACAGGCGAAGGAGCGTGTGGAATGCGCGGCCTCCAAGCCACTGCACTGGGGACAGGCTTGCGTGAAGAGGGCCTCGTCTCCCTACGAGTATTCAGCAAAGAGCCAAGTCAGCAGGTGATGAATCGGCCAAGACTTTATACCACGCTCTACTTGCGAGGCAGTCGTCGAGTCGTCGTCGTCTGTTTGACTGCCCATACCAACTGGCCCCAAATCCTCAAGCAGGCTAGGTCAGCATGGCAAGCCGGCCAGCCACGATGACAAGCGAAGGAATGGGAGGAGAGAGTCCGCGTCAAATAGCGTTCAGACGGTCTATGACGATGATTTGGCCATGCGCGGTCAAAGGCCAGGAGAGGGTGTGGTGGACGAGGTTGTTGTGTTTAAGAAACTGAGTGGCTTGGCGTTAAGGACGGCTCCCCCGCACGCTAGCAGATGCTGTCGCGCTCGACGTTGTCGATTGGACGATTCGGACACATTGGCGACTTGTGGTGACAGGCCAGGAATTGGCGTCGCTTGGAACACACAGATGCGTCAGTCGTTGATGACTTGGTGAGTGCAGGTCGCGTGAGGGCTATGTTTCGCCAGAAGGTCGCGCCAGAAGGCCGCCAGAAAGGGATGACGCAGATGCACGTGAGGGTGGTGAGACACGAATCGCTTAATTATTCGGGATCGGGAGACAATGAAGACAACGGTGAAGGCAAGGTGAGACGAGGAGCCGGAACAGATGGTGGGATTGGGTTGGTGTTGTCGTGGGCGAAAAGGAGGAAAACGAGTGAGATCCACACATCGAGATGTGCCCGAGGCTGCGGCGCACGAATCATGACACGGCATAAAGGGACGGACAGAGTGATTGGATGACGTGCGGGACCCGCCTGGCTCCGCTCGCGCCAAGATCGGCTGCCGCTGCCGCTGCCGGCGTCAAAAAGGGAAACGCCACAGAGGTGTGCATGACATCATGGCTGCTTTGGGAGGGAAGCCACCCTCGTCGGTACCGCCTTCCTGCGTCGAGACTTTCTGTCAGGCATCCATCAGTGATGCCATCCTGTGAGGGTTCATCTACGCATCTACAATGAAACCTGGAGAGACTCTAAACAGTATGCACGAACCCCAAGCTTTGCCGTTAACATGGATGGACTGGAGATCATCGCCAACACGCACAACAAGCATTGTCGCAGATGATTGAGACACGGGGACCCACTGAACCACGCTTCCTCTTCGGTCTCACTTCGCTGGCTCCATCCACCAAATACCGCCCATTTGCTCCATCACGCTTGGTCGTTCGGTGTCTCCAGCCATTCATCGACAAGTCATGTGCTCGATCAAGCTCTTGTCTGACTTGGGGAAGACTCCTTGGGACGGCCTTCCTTGGGACGGCCTTCCTTGGGACGGCCTTCCTTGGGACGGCCTTCCTTGGCCCTGCCGATGCGATGGGACCAGTCAAGCCAGTGCCGCCCCTGGTCCGCCATGTTTTCCTTTCTTCCCTGCTGACTCCGTTCCCCACAACACGACCGAGTCTGGTCGACCGTTTCTCCATGCCGACAAGGAAAAAAAAAAAAAGGGTTGCTCCATTCGATGTTGACGATCGTGAACCGCGGAGGTTTGCCCGCTTCTATCGGCAGGCTACTCATGCCGTGCGTGGTCAGCACATTGACAGGGGCGGAAACTGAGCGCTTCGGGCGTCTACCGCGGCATCGCACCCCGGGCACTGATCGAAACCCGCCGGCAGCAAACAACAGTAATCACTTCGCCAGGGTCAGCTCAGGATGGTGGAGACGACGACTGGGGCCAAGCAAACGGCCAGCCTTGGGACAACGTCATGCTTGCACACACACACACACACACACACTTTCGTTCGGTGACCAAAGGTACTGTACTCCCCCTACTCTTCTGGTCGCCGGGAAATGATTAGAGTGGTTGACAAAGCCCAGCGAGACCAGCGCGAGGGGATAATGAACAGACAGACACCAGAACCTCAACGGCCACCAGGCGCCACGCTACGCCCCATCGAACCATGACAGATGCAGTCGCCCACCCCTGGGTTCGTGTGCCCACGGCTACCCCGTGATCGTCCCCGCTCTGCCTCTCGACCTGACGCGACTCGCCTCAATCCCTTAAGCCGCGCCCCGGGCGCCGTCAACGACAGTCCACCGCCCGGGGTACGTCATGGGTTTCCCTAGGCCACTCCGCCGCCGTGAGATCTTGTCACGTCGAGCAGGGCCAAGGTCCGTCTCCCAGCTTCGACGCCAAAGCCTCGTCAGGCGCATCTGCCCCGGACGCCATCCACCTCAGCCAAGCTCCAGGTCCGGGCCCCCAAACCATCCCGTCCTGTGCCCCAGTTGTCTTCCCTCCCCCCTCCAAACCCAGATCCCCATCTTTTCCACACCACGAGGTCGTGTCTCGATAAGTACTTGACCTTCTGCCCCGTCCGCACATGTATGTGGTCTGGCTCCTGCTCACCTACTCAAAGTTTCTTTCTTAACTCCGAAAGACGTGGAGCCGTCTACATCTGCTCGAGTCCTCCCTCCCACCTATCCAGCTCGCAACATCCACGCAGCCAACACATACAATAACACTAGACCATCACACCCACAACACAACTAACCACCCACCATGTTGGGCACAAAGTACGCACCCTCTCCTCCTCGTACAGCTCCACGCGATCATCCTTGCTGACAAGCCAGATCCATCAAGGTCAATGGCGCCGAGGTGGGCATCGAGTCGATCATGCTCGGTGTCATCACCAGCATTGGCGGCTTCCTCTTCGGATACGACACGGGCCAGATCTCCTCCATGCTTCTCTTCACCGACTTCCGCAACCGCTTCGCCACTGGCCCTCGTGACGACGACGGCATCAAGACCTGGGTCTCCATCATCCAGTCCCTCATGGTCTCTCTGATGAGCATTGGAACCCTCATTGGTGCTCTCTCCGGCGCCTACACGGCTGACTGGTGGGGCCGTCGCAAGTCTCTCACCTTTGGCGTCTGCATTTTCATCATTGGCAACATCATCCAAATCACCGCCATGGACACCTGGGTTCACATGATGATGGGACGTTTCGTCGCCGGTCTCGGTGTTGGTAACCTGTCTGTCGGTGTGCCCATGTACCAGTCCGAGTGCTCCCCGCGCCAGATCCGCGGTGCTGTTGTCGCCTCGTACCAGCTCCTCATCACCATTGGTATCCTCATCTCCAACATTATCAACTATGGCGTTCGCAACATTCAGACCTCGGATGCCTCGTGGCGCATCGTCATCGGCCTCGGCATCTTGTTCTCTCTGCCTCTCGGCATTGGTATCCTCATGGTCCCCGAGTCGCCCCGCTGGCTCGCCGCCCGTCACGACTGGGAGGGCGCTCGCATGTCCTTGGCCCGCCTTCGCGGCATGAAGGATGACCCTCACAACACCCTTGTCGAGGACGACATTAACGAGATGTACAAGGTTCTCGAGGAGGAGTCCCGCGTCGGTGTCGGTTCATGGATGGAGTGCTTCACTGGCCGTCCCGCACGCCTGCCCAAGCTCGTCTACCGCACCATTCTCGGCATGACCCTCCACTTCCTGCAACAGTGGACTGGTGTCAATTACTTCTTCTACTACGGCGCCACCATCTTCGAGTCGGCTGGTGTCGATGACCCTATTCTCGTCCAACTCATCCTTGGTGCTGTCAATGTTGTCACCACCTTCTACGGCCTCTACGTGGTTGAGAAGTACGGCCGTCGCTGGCCGCTCTTCATCGGTGGTCTGTGGCAGGCTGCGTGGCTCTGTGTCTTTGCCTCGATCGGTGTCGCCCAGCCTCCTGACAACAACTCCACGACTGGCATTGTCATGATTGTTTCGGCCTGCATGTTCATTGCCTCTTTCGCTGGGTACGTCCACCTTTGCCACCAACGTCAGTCTACACGTGCTAATCAATTGCAGTACTTGGGGTCCCATCTGCTGGGTCGTCATTGGCGAGACCTTCCCCGTCCGCACACGTGCCAAGCAGGCCTCGCTCGCCACCGCTGGCAACTGGCTCGGCAACTTCATGATTGCGTTCCTGTCTCCTCTTGCCGACTCCGGCATCGGCTATGCCTTTGGCTACGTCTTCGTCGCCTGCAATCTGGCCGGTGCGCTTGTCGTTTGGTTCTTCCTTTATGAGTCTCGCGGTCTTTCGCTAGAGAACGTCGATCGCATGTACGGCCAGAAGGATGTGAAGCCCTGGAACTCCAACAAGTGGGTGCCTCCCGGATACCTCACCCGTGAGACCCGCGACGAGGCCACCTTCCGTCGCGCCAGTGCGGCGCGGGGCAGCGTCGCCCACACGTCGTCCGACGTGGAGAAGGAGAAGAGGCATGACGACAGCCCTAGCGAGAGCCACCACGAGGGCATGTTCAGTGGTCGCGACAACCAGGTCTAAGCGAGCGGTCTGGGGTGTTTTTCTATTTGCCTTTTTGACTGCTGTTGTCGCTGCATCTTGGACAACTAGCGCTGGCGTTGCGCTTGGGTTTCGATTCTTGTAATCATCTAGCTGTGTATAAAATGACGACGTCCATGACCCTGCTACCATGTCGTTGGCCTGTTGGCCGTGCCGATTCGTTCATCATGATCTGTGGACATCCCTGATGTAATGGACGATGACCAGGAAAGGTAGTAATCAACATGGGCATCGTTGTGCCTTCCCGAGTGTACCCAACAATCAGGTATGTAATCATGGACCCATATGTTCATGCGCAACAGCATGCTCTCACCCCGCTAACAACCTGCACCTGCCACGAGCTATTCATATCATACCAGGCAGGTGTCATCGAAGTACAGGTACCTTATACAGGCAGGAAGTACCTAGCAGACCCATGGTTGTAGCACCTGCCTACTGTCCACTAAACATGGGTGCATTGTGCTTGCCCGCGCTGCGACAGTGGCAGTATTTAAGAAATCTGACCGAAGGATGAGAAAGAATCTGCTTCTGAACATCTTTACCACTCGACACCTCATGCCACGCCTGTACATCACCAGGTCCGTCACCACCTCTGAATATCCTGCAATTTACCATGGTCGGTGTTCACTGCCATCTTCACCATGGCAGGCATCGTCATGTCTTTGTAAGTGAGGTCAACACCCTTCGAGTCGGCCCAGTCACTGAGCGCGCGCTCGTGTGCCCGCTGGCCACAGCACCCCTGCAGCGCAGATTGGTGTCACTGAGGATTATCTTGGTCCGAATCCAGAACAGACGTGGAACATCATGATTAACAACCCTCCGCCATTCCGAGTATCAACCCAATTCAAACTGACACCAACTCTTGATCAAGCCCCGCCTCCCGAAAGAAGATTTCTACGCAAAGCAGAAGTGGATGAGGCATGTCAAAACCAGGGCCTTGATGGCACGGACATTAACGAGCTTAGGCGTGCATCTCGGAAAGGGCGTCAGGGCTTGGATCGCGCCGACCGCCAGCCAGAGTTAGCTGCACTCGACGAGTGCGCTTCCGATAAGGACCCTAATCCGGAATATGAAAATGACAGCGACGACATAGAGGGCAGCATGGACGAAGTTGAAGGCTTGACCTTGGATGAGACAGTCGAAATGCACCATCTTATCGATGCGATCGCTGGCGAAACAGATGAAGATAAAGACGCCTTGGGGGAGGTACCGGTTGAGCTGGCCAAAAAGCAGCCAATTGACGCCGAGATTCTTGTCGGCGACTCGACAGCGTTTGTCGACTTTCTCTCCACAGTCAACATCTCTCTGAGGAATTGTACCTCTTGCACTACTGTTGACGCCCTCTTGGCGCGGATGCCATCGGATGGCAGCCGTGACACCACGGGTTTTCGAATGTCCTTATGGATTCACTGCCTTGGCTGAGGCTCATCTATCCCAACACGGCATGCGATTCATGCAAGGTACGAAAAGAAAAAATGGCCGATCGTCAATTCGAATGCATGCAATGCGATCAAAAATTCGACACAAAACACAACCTGGCCTGTCATGAGGTTCACATGCATAAATGGAGCAACAGGCGCTACTCTCACGACGACTGTGGTGATGACGACACAGTGTACTAGTCATGTGGCGCCCTCCATCTTCACCGGACGACGGCCCATGACGACTGTGGTGATGACGACACAGTGTACCAGTCATATGGCGCCCTCTATCTTCACCAGACGACGGCACACGACGACTCGTGGGAGGAGACATGTCCTGCTGTAGGCTGCAACCGCGGAAATAAACCATTCATAACCCCGGCCAACCAGCGCGATCACATTAAACGCAAACATCCAGAGTTGGATTCGGATCTTTTAGCTCCTAACAAGGGAACAAAAGGGGGAGTAACGAGTGCCAGGAGTTCTGCATAGGCATTACGCTTTTATCCCGTGCTAGGATGTCTGCGGACTGGAAGATCATGAGTTATAGGCAGTATCTCAAGTGCTATTAGCGGAGCCCTCTTTAGTGTCAAACATGGACTACTAGATTCACTCGATGGAAGCTCTTGGAACGGGCATGACCATTTCGGTAGTGAGAGAAATCACAGTCATCTTTCATCCTGGCATACTATGACATGACTCTGAAGTTCTAGAGGAAAGTATACTCATCGACCTATCCTCTGAGCTCCTGAATCAAACATGTCATGATGTAAATGGATCATTACTGACCCCGTCATTCAATGTTTTGATGAAAGTGCTTCAGCTCCTGAATACATGACTGAGTGTAGGCCTTCATGTCCTCTCTTCCGTTTCCCTGTCGCCTTACTGGGTGTTGCATCCACATCGACCTCCATTGAATCGTCTTCTGTTGCCGGGCTTTCCCCTTCACGAGTTTCCTCTTCCTCCTGTGGTCCCAGCTCCACATCACCAGGATGGTGTTCCCTTTGCTCGGGGCTCGGGAACCCCCGTCGTGGATCCCAAGGAGAGGCGCCATCGCCAAGAAAGAAGCTGCGGCCGCCAAGAAGAAGGAGGCCGAACAGAAGAAGGCGGCGGACAAAGCCGCCAAGGCCCTGTCGGCCCGAAGGGTGGTTCGGCCAAGCGCTCCGCCCCGGCCCCGGCCTCTGGCCGCCCGGGAAAGAAAACTCGGTCGACCCCCAAGAAAGGTCGTCCAGATTGTCCCGCTCCTCCGGTTCGTGGAACTCTGGTAAAATCCCTGGCTCGCCGTCCAACTCGATATGGCCCTCGATCGGTAGGATGGGCACTTCCCCCGCTATCACCTCACGAGAAATTTCCATGCCGGGCTTCTAGCTTACGGCAAGCTCTCTGATAAATTGCGGCGTCATGTTAGAGAAGAGGTCGGGGTTCAGGATCGTTGTCCGGGCAATGGCTGAATAAAACTCCCCGAGATCTGTCATCTTTTGACCGTCATATTCGTACCATTCGGCACCTTTGCGAGGATACCGATTGCACCGTTGACCCAGGTATGTTGCCATGATCTCGAACGCGCAGATGGTAAGCTGTTCGCCCTCGATGCGCCGATCAATTGGTGCTTGCGCTGCGATGATGTTCGCGACTTTTCTCAGCTGTTGATACTCTATCCACCTGTCGAAAAGTCTTGCTAGTAGAGGAAAATCCTTTTTATCTTCGGATACAGACTGGAAAATGAGTACTAGTCTGTGGACTGGATAATGAATAATAGAATGGATAATGAGTAATAGACCGGACAAGGAGGGATGGACTGGACGACGAGGGACGAACCGGACAAGAAGGGATAGACTGGACGACGAGGGACGGACCGGACAATGAGCAACCGACCAATGCGCCACAGGCGACCACCCATCCGGTTTTCTGTTGCTGTGTTGTCCGTTGCCGTCAGCAGGATGTCGTTGTGGAAAGTATTGTGATAATTCACACCAAAGATGGAAGGCCTGCTGCTGGTGATGAATCGGCCTTGGAGTCTGGAATGTTACTTCGATTGATGGCATCCTCGCGCTCGAAATTTTGTGGGGGCTCTTGCTGCTCAAGGCTTTGTCGAGTCTACGTTGATCGTTCTGTAGTGTTGTCAGCTCGCGTGTTCAATGAGAGGGGTTGAAGCTTGTAGCCCAAGGTGAAGGAACATCTGAGGCACTTACTGCGTAGCCAGGGTTGTTCACAATGACCAATAGCCGTTCATTCGTCTTCTGACAACGTAGTGCCATCCCCAACGTGAAGGCGTACTTGGGTGATTTGTTCACCACGTACCGCATTATCTCCAGCCGATCTGACGGGAACGAAAACTCGTCCGTTGGGCGAGTATGGTAAAAGTACCAGTGGAGACCCCCCGTGTGGTCGTTCAGGGCCACGCGCTTCATCTCAGCGACACCGGCCGCTGTCTCCGGTCTCCGCTTTTCTGCCTCTGCGGCCCTCTTCCGCGCTTGCGAGCTTGTCAGAGGACCTTGAGACTCAATAGGTTGCCCCAATTCGACATCGGCAGTCGTGACGGTCTTCTTGCCCTTGTCAGAGTGCATCCCATCAGGCTTCATGACATTGTACATGGCCTCCATGTCCCCCAGAAGTTTCATGCATCTGACCGATGGATGTGTCAGGATCTGATTCCGAACATCCGTGCCAATAAGCATGGCACGTCTGTACATACCAGGGTGTATCATCATCCCTGAAGACCCTGTGACCGATCCACGGCCAGTGTGCTGTGCCATCTTTGACATGGCGGGCGTCATCATGTTCTCATGTAACGAGCTCAACACGGCCCTCACAACAGGCCTTCGGTCCGCTCGCATCCCCAACTCAACACGGCATACCTCGATAGGAGGAATGCCATCCCCAGGGTGACAGATTTGACCATCTGGGAGTGTGAGCGGATCCAACATGCCCTGGCGTATTTGTAAGATGTCCATCATGCGGCCCACAGCCATGCGGGCAAAGTCAATACCACACTTGACAACGTCACCAAAGGATTCCACAAGCTTTGGATTCAGCAAGAACAAGGGAATGTGCTGGTCCTTCAGGGCCGTCACATATTCATCATGCCTTTTCCCAGCTCCCAGGGTCTTATTCTGGTTTTGCCATTTGGCGGAACCAAAACTCATAAGGCGCGCAAGATCGATCTTCTCCCAGGTGTTATTGTCGCGTTCTGGATCAGTCAAAAGCTTGCTAACAACCTCGGGAGGCAAAAAACATCTGTGGCTGGATTTCTGTACCGGCCGGGTTGAAGCGGAATGGCCAAGACTGTTGCCAGATCATGTCTGCATAGCCAAGGAAGTCCCGAGTAGAATTCAGCAAAGGAGTGGCGGTAATGAAAAAGTGTGGCGTCTTTATCGAGTTGGGTGGCCAGTTGGTGCCGCTTGGAAGAGACGTTCTTGACCTGATGACACTCATCTGCCAAAAGCCAATGAAACTGTCCGCCCTTGAAGGCCAACTCGTATTGCTGGCCCTCGTAGCTCTTCGGTATGGAACCCCGTGTTCTCTTTTTGCCAGCGAAGGTATCTTCTACCTCTTCAAGGGCCTGAGTCTCCTCGTCGACATTGAATGTAGTCAGCTACGCTAGCTCGTGGATTCGTCATTCTGCTCAGGGTTGTCAAAGGCATCAGAGTCATCCAAGATGCCATCATTCGTTTCGTGCTCTGAAGAAAAAGCCTGTTGAAAAGACTGCTGATTTGGTATTCGGAACAAAGGAGGGTTTTATAATGTGAGAGAAAAGTCGACTGAGGCAACTTGGCTCCTGAAGCTTCTCGGAGAAAACTTTTCTGTGGCACGAGTTAGGGTGCCTTCCTGAGAAAAAAGTATGGTCGTCCAGAATTCTGAGTCACCTGATTATGAGTCATTGCGTGAGTCTGGGAAGGAGACACCAAAGCCTGTGAGGAAGGCGCCGCCTGACATGTCTTACCCGAAGGTAGTGCTGTCCAGGCAAGAGCCTCTCGATCTGAATGCTTCCGTGTCTGGAGTGAGAGATGCCCGCAGTCAGGTGATATAAGGTAGATAGCTAGGTCAGCTTCGCAACGGCGAGTAGAATGGCCTGCCTGTGTGTGTTGAAATTTATACGCCGAAGTGGCCAGGACTGTGAGTGGGATTGTGTTGTAACCATGTAATAATAGTCTCGGTGGAATCAGTGGCCATGGTAGAAAGTGCCGGGGCGATGGAGCACAGAGCACGTATAATGTGTTCAACGTCGCAATGGCCAGTCGTGTCCTTGTTCGTTTCGCGAGGAAATCACGTTGAGGAACTGAGTGATCGCCGGTCTGAAGATTGGCATCTCAAAAAGAAAATATACCACGTTATTCCTGGACTTGCTGCTTTTATGAACCACATAGTTGACGATAGTCGTTCAGGCGCAATGAGGTGTCGCTCTTTATAGGAGGAGGAGGAGCGGGTCGGGTGGTTTGTCGTGAAGCAAATGTCAGTGGGAGTTTGCTGCCGAAAGCTGGCGACGAACAAACTCCGCCATGCCACTTTAGGCAACAGGGAAATGCGAAAATTCTATTTTTTCATATGTGGTATATGAATTCACTTCTCTCGCGCAGCTAGCTGGGCAGCCATTTGTCTGGCAAGTATCTACTTCTTCGCTCCGACACACTAGTCGGATGATCATGGTTTAGCTAGAAGTCACCTACAAGGTAGCCGCTCGTGATACGATCATTAATTCTTCTGAGCACCGGCGTCATGATTAACAGAGGCCATTTTACACTTGACAAACAAGTTTGACCAGCAAGCGACGTGTTTTCGCGGCGCGGTTTTCCCGCTTCAGCATTGTTAGCGAGCGAACATCTAGCGATCTAAATGGCAGAACCATTCCTGCACAAGAAATGGGTGCTGATTTGACATGTCCTCTAGCAAGTAACTTATGTTTCACACAAATACAGGCAACGCTATTGGCTCAGCACACGACTTTCATACATCTTAACCAACGGCAGCGAAGTTCCCGGCCGGGCTCGTGCTAATTCGTCAGTCGAACCACGGGCTTCTGACTTCCTCTACGTACGCCTTAGATACACACTATATAAGTGTCACTCCGTCATGGGTATCTATAATTCAAGACTCGTAGCCGTAGTGCATCACTGGTATTGACGAGGTACATGTCGACGAGTAATGGCATACCTCTGCTCAAGGATATCAGACCCAGCATACACATTTCCTCATGAGATCTTGTATTCAGTGAATGGTAGTGGCAAGATTTTGCGAACGAAGGGGGGGAGATTTACATACAAGCTCAGTTGGCTGACCAGGTCAAAAATTAGGTACGATATTCCATCAATTCGAAACAACAATTCGCAGCTGTTGCTATCCGCCACGCCTTGTACTAGACTCGTACCCGAAAGGTGAACCCGTTGGATGGTACATTGGCTATCCCACCTGGAATGGTAACATTAAGAAGGCTGGTGGGTAAAGGAACTCGATCACACTTTTTCTCGGGCAAGCCGTGTTAGACTCATTACCTTGTAGTATACGAAATCAATCTCTTCACCTTCAGCGCTTCACCCGACTGATTACTGTAGAAAGTGGGTATTTCTCTCGTACAAATTCCATCATCCTCCGCCTGAATTCCTCATTTCTCCATGACCCTTGAGGTCCAGTCAGGAGAGAAGGCTACCCAGAAATCAGCAATGTCATAGAAACCAAGGAGGCATGCTTCCGATTCTCCGCTGAGGCCGAAATCGTTCCTTGTGTTTACAAATAGGACAGGTGTCACCAGGTAGGTTTTAAGGGAGATATTGTCCACAGAGTGTCCTTCTCCTGCGTGAAAATGACCTGGACTACTCAGACCTTCGTGGATGTTTGAAAAGTAGAACATGCGGATCACGGCTTCAACCACCCGCAACTGGCCTGTACGCATTGCTGAGTGCAAAGCCGTGTTGCCTTCGCGATTTTGATGTGTCAAAAGCACATGAGCAGCAAGTTCTCGATAGAACGACGACTCAATATTGCGGCCGAATGTTTCGAAAATACCATAGAGGCCGTCCATATTGCCAGTGTTCACTATGGCGTGTAGTATCAAGTCGCCACTATCTCGGTCAATGACCAGATGGCAACCCTTTTGTGTTTCACAGTGGTGTTGACGCGCGCCGTTGAAACGAATGGGGTAATCGCTTCGGCCTAACTTCCATTTGTACAAAGTCCCTGGCTTCTGAGGGAGAGAAAGGCCGACATTCTTGGCCTTTCATTGAGGATTGGCCCATGAACCTCGTGATGATATTGATGGCTATGGGTATTGTTGGTTCCGCGATGCTTGGACTGATGTCCTCGTAGGACTCGCCGAGTTCAGGGCGATCAACCTGACTTGGGCGGCCCTCGACCTCGTCCGAACCGGAGGACCTGGCATCGCTCGAACTACTGACATAGTTGACACATTCGATCTCTTCGTTTTCAAGAACGGCCTGTTCGGTTTCTCTGGATTGGGCATGTTGACACAAGAAGAGGTGGAACGAACTCTTCTCTCAAGGTCAGCCGATATCGGGCTGGCTCGATTCTCCTTGGGAGCACAGAATGCTGCGATGTTCATCGAACCACAGACCACCAATCCAGAAGGGTTGGGTCTTTTCTCAAGCCCGTCGCTGATTGCGAACATCTTTGACTTTGTTGGGCCTATGTTAGTTCACCAACTATGGTTTCGCGTCATCCCATCGGTCGTGGGGGACATGACTTGCGTGCCTTTCCATGAGATTATGTTCCATGAGTTTATGTTTTTAACCGATCATCAGCCGCGCGCCCCCAGTATATTGCCAGCGTCTGTGCGTTGTGATTAGACCCAATAGTCAGCTCGATTGATACCCAATGGTCAGGCGACATCCCCCCATCCGCGGTTGTCGCCATCGAAATGTCCAATCTCCCTTGTCTTCATTCTTCTCCAGCCCGATTTCGTCTGTTTCCAGATTCACTCCGCACCACAGCATGGGCACAGCATGGGCCAGTCCATTTCCATTGGAGCCTTGTTCCCATTAAGACTACGCCTCTGGCTCGGCAGTGTGCTCTTTCGCCCCCTCGGCCTAAAGACTTTCAGAGTAAGCTGGCGTCGTGTCATCAAGGGGCCATGCGACCCTCCTGAGATTGAGGCTATGCGATACATCGCCACGCACACAGAAATCCCAGTCCCTCAGATCTACGCTATTCATACCGAGAACTGTTGTATCTATATTGAGATGGCGTATATCCAAGGCGATGCCTTAGATACCACCTGGGCTGACCTTTCAACGAACGAGAGGAACACCATCTTTGCAGACATCAAACAGTACGTCTCTTCTCTTCGGGAGCTTCAGCCCCCCTCGCAAGATATCGTCTGCTCGGCTTCTCATAATCCCGCCTATGACTGCCGTATCGGATTTCAATTCTTTGGTCCCATGACCCATGACGAATTTCATTCTTTGACGCGAAAGCACTTACTTATGGACGACGTCAAAGCCGGTGCTCTCGGCCGAGAAGTGGCCACAACGCATACGGGTCGCTATCGCACTTATTTTACGCATGCGGACCTAGCCCCGAGAAATATTATTGTGCGTCACGGGCGAGTTGCTGCCATCATCGACTGGGGGTTTGCAGGATGGTATCCAGAGTACTGGGAGTTCACGAAGGCGCACTATAATTTCTTCTCCGAAGATTGGGAGGAGTGTCTGTCAATTGCTCTCCCCGCCTACAACACGGAGCTCTTAGCCGAACAGACCCTCTGGAGAATGCTGCCGGAACCGGGTGCAGCATCCACATCCTTTTTCCGCGATGGAACCAGCTTTTCGCACAAAGGTTCACAGCCTTCTGAAGCCTGGCTGGCTGCTAGAAAAGGTCGTCAGCAGGCAGACTTGTGGTCTTTGGCCCTAATTCCGAGGAATTGACACGTGTATCTCTTCTCTCCTAAGCGTAGTCGGCTTCAAGCCTTGCATGGTGTGGAATCATGAACACACTCCCCTCATCCGCTTGTCTGGCTCGCCTAATGGTGTGCGAGAAACTTATTCTCGTAGACGACATTCGAGCGTTCCGATTTGCAAACCCCTGTAGTTGAGGGAGACAAAGTCCACATCCGTGTAGCAGTTAGCAACGCTGGGCCTCGATTTTGAAAATGAGAGAATCTGAGACGAACTAGAACTTCAACCGAGGGCCGGGGCCGATCATTGCGGGATTGAAGTCGACTCTGGACTGGAGACACCGGATAGCTTGCCCGCATCGAGCACTGGCTGGGCAGCGGATACATCTGCCGGCAAAAGGCAGGTTCAAGACAAGATGTTATGATGCATGCTTTAAATCTATTTCGGGTACGGTAAGCCTTCCTATCGAAGTTTCGATTGTCCGAAAGGTTAAAGGCATACATCTGGAAACAACTTCGACAGGCTTCTGCGAACCAACACTACCCGACATGTCGGCTTCAGAGTTTTGAGAAATCGATAAGAGCAACTACATCATGAAGAAGTTGCAATAGAGCATAGCCCTTTCAGTTTAATAACTCTCTGAATCTCAGCCAGTTCTCTTCATGGGCAGGGTGGAATCGCCAAGGATGGTACGTTGGCACATGTGAACAAGGCAGCCTCACGACAAGGAGGCCTTGCCACTTGAGTGCCAGAATGAAAGTGCTAGCATCATTTTCATAGTATGGGTAAACTCCTCACAAGATTCTGGGTATCATCAGCTCAGATCGGTAGGTGGCATTGACGGTAAGGTTCAAGTACGCCGACTTGCTCCGGAACCAGCCCGAACTCTCACGGCCCTAACGCACCAACCTTAGCATAACCTGCCAAATACCGAGACTTTTCGCCGTACTGCGAAGCTTGTCCGGTGATCTTCACACCCAACCCCGGGCATTGACCTCAATGAGTTTCCCACCCTTCGATGCTGCACAAAGTGCACATGCTTTTGGTTGGCATATACCACTGGAAATGAGGGCCTAATCGCCAAGCCAATAGCCTACCCTGCGAGCCCAGATGGTCAGCCGGCCGGATGGTCGTTCCGCGAGGATCGGAAGCCTCCGTCGCACTGAGGTTATGCGGACAACGAACCGCTAGCTGGAGTTTCATGTTCTTCAAGCTCAGGATTGCTAATGGCAAGACACAGAAGGTACGTCGGCGTTTGTTTTCTGATCATGTCTCACGACATCTACAGTCTGACAAAAGGGGCAGTCGCCGTGCTTGGCCTTAGCTGCAGTTGCGAATCACTGTCGATGTCATCAGACCAAACATACGGACTTGATGCAGCACCCTCACAGGAAGCAAAATCTGAAATGTCCATCTGTCTATCGTCAACTTTTGATTAGCCGGACGTAGCCCACGTATGCAACTCCCACAAAGCTTCCCGTGACCAGAAGCCCAAGCACCGTCAAGTCCCAATTCCTTGCTTTCCATACCGACATTCTAGAGTCCGCCGTTTGCAGATGCATTGGCCTTCTCCGCCTCACCATCATGAGTTTATCACCCTCGTCCGCCGGTGGGAGCTTGCTGAATATGGCATCGAACATAACCTCCTCGATCAAATCCGCACCGTATTCCTTCTTCCTCGACGAAACACGCGCAATGTGCTTCATGCGTTGTATGTCACGTGAGAATACACCACCTTCATCCGCCAATATGGTTCGCGCCTTTTGAAGCACCTCTTCGCCAGTGAAAGCCGCTTTGTCGAGGTACATGCCAATGCCTGCCTCCTGCACGCGAAGTCCGTTGAGAAGCTGGTCGAAAAAGAAGCCCAGAACCAGCATCGGCGTTCCGTGATATGCGGCTTCGTTGACGCTGCTGCCACCGCCGTGCGTCATGAAGAGGATCGTCTCAGGTCGGTCGAGGATGGCGCGCTGGGGCGCAAACGGCGTGAAGAGCCATGCGCGGTTCTTGTTGTCAAGAAGCTCGCCGACGCGGACGTCGCTGCCTTTGGCAATACAATGAGCTCGGTTGAATTGGGTGCGCTGCGCGTCTTTTGCGACCCAGATGATGCCGTCGATGAGGCCTTCTTCGAGCAAGGACGAAAGCGCAAGGAGGAGACGCTGTAGATACTCGGGAGGCACCAGGACATGAGTGCCGAAGGAGATGAAAACTACGCGGTGGTGTGACGCGAAGAGGGCCTCCAGTTTGTCGTCCAGGGAGGGATACTCGTCAGCGAGAATGGGCCCTACAGCCGCCATCAGGGGCGGCAAGTCTTTTGGTGTCTCCAGTCCCCAGAAGGAGTTGACCAAGACGAGGTAGTTTGGTTTGTTTATCGTGAAAAGCGAGTACGTGACGCCAGCTGCCCGTCGCATGTTGCGGATGAACCAAAAGTACGGAATCAACGCCGAGATGGTCCGCAGCGGACGGAAGGCTGCACGGACACGCGTCCATAGTGATGCATGCTCGCTGCTCAAGGCATCGATTTGTAGCCCTGGTACCCCAGGGATGTACGGGGCGCCGGCCATGCCGTATGGCATCTGAGGCCAAAGAGTCGCGACGGGGATGCCGAATTGGTGCTGAATGTCTCGCACGGCGTCGACAAAGAAATCGGCTACAATCATGTCTGGTCTCGAAACTTGAATCACCTCTTTCAGCGACTGGTAGTCGGATGCCCAGAACGCGTCGACGGTGAATTTCGGCAGGAAATAGTCTCGGTAATCTCGTCTGGCGTCTGTTTGTTGCATGTGGAGGTAGTGGGCGGCTTCTTTTTCCGCCGTCATGGGATCGCCCATGGTGTGCGTCCGAGAGATGAAAGAGTAATCTGGCGAGTTCACCCACTTTTCCTGTCCCCGGTGAGTTGCGAATTCGACTCGATGGCCTCTCCTGGCCAAAATGCGGCCCAGTTCCAATACAGGTGCTGTGAGTCAGTTAGAAGGTTTTTGATCGCGGTTGAGCGGTACTGCTTTGAGGCGTGAGAACCAACCGGCATGTGTCAGGCCTCCAGTGCCAGACACCACAAGCACCTTTGCCGAAGAATCTTGCTGTCCAGAGAAAACCTCAGTAGGAGCTTGTATCAAGTCGCCATCCTCCGGAGAGTGACCATGCATGTTTTCCTTGCTTGACACAGCTGGGTTGCTGATCCAGCTGCCCAGCCCGACATCGCGCGAGTCCAAGGACATCTCGCAGTCTCGCTGCTTTTGCCTTGGTTTGACGAGACAAAAGATCTGTGTGGGAATTGGGTTCCTGGTGCGTAGTCCAGTCAACGATGTTGTGACAACCGCGAAGTCGGTGATAGGAACGGCGACCAAATGCCAATCAACCAGCACGATTCTTGGCTTACAATCTGCGCGAGTTCATCATGAAACGATGGCTTGGGCCTTTGATGGATGCTGCTCAGAAGGTGGCGTCTACTTCGCGTCACGGCCAGTGATGAGTTTGCGCATCATCTTGAATACCACGGTTCCCAGCTTTGCATCCTCGGCATCGCCTGATTGATGTCCAAGAACGAAGTCATGATGGCATGATTCACCATCTCGGAACACCAGCTCCAAGGAGGAATGGGTGAGGTGGTCTGTGCTGAATGCCCGCCCTTTTCGGTTCTGCCGCCTTCACTGCCAGACAGACAGTACACATGTTCATTCACTTCACCTGGGCATTTCTGACGGTACAAGATCTTGGTGGTGGCATTCGCTTGGTCAGTGGCATTCACTCGGTCAGTGGCATTCACTCGGTCAGTGGCATTCACTCGGTCAGTACCAATATTAGGGGATTTCCTATGACAGTGGTTAGGATGGTGGTATCTGGGATATCTGGGATCCACAGCTCTCAGGAGCACGTGAACCACGGCTCACGTGATCGGTGAAGCAGACGGGTATATCTGACTTGCGTAAGGTAGGTAGCGGTAACGCAGAGATAGAGAAAATCAAGAATCAACCATCACAAGCCTTATATCAGATACCCTACCTATTCAGAGCTCGCAAGCACAGCAGAAGCACTGGATTGGGGTTCACATAAGCAGTGAAGCCCTCTCAACAACGGCTTCACTTCTTCCTATCAACGATACTATTATCGCCTTTTCGACCTAGGTTGAGTGGAAAACTCTACCTAAAACCGGCGGTCCAACTACTGAGCAAACGCTACGGCACAACGCCAAATCTCGGCATAACGCTAGATCCGCAAACTGCTGTACTCTCTAGCCCACAATGGCTACACAGCTTTATTATCAGGGCGAACGGCTACTCGGCAAATCGAATTACCGCTCCTGGAAGCTTAGCGTCATTGCCTTCCTCGAACGCGCGCACTGCGATGAATTCCTCAGTGCCTCTATTCCCCCCCCCGGCCGACGCAGCAGACAGGGAGGTATGGAGGGACAAGAAGGCGGTGGCAATGAGCACTCTTGGCGTCTCAATCCACTCTAGCCTATATGATCGCATCGAAGCCACAGGTTGGGACATGGCTGATCGAGACCCCTTCAACCTGTGGAGTGCAGTTTCTCAAGTTTTCCAGGCACCGGCCTGCCCTGTAGAATAGCTACAGAATACACACCTCTCCTCCGCACTTGAACCCCTACAGCGCAGGACGCTCAATGGCCTAGCAGTCAGCGATCAGGGCAGCGCTCATGATACTAGCAGTATGCCAGACGTGGCTCGTGTGTTGGCCTGCCAGATTAGAAGTTTTGGGTCATTGGGAGCAGTGGTCCAGCAGCAGAGGCTAATGCTGGCCGCCTTGTTATGGAGCCTGGTACTTGAGGTGATGGAGGAAAGCGGGCCTCAGTTATGGTACATACAGACTGCTCGGTCTAAATGTGTTTCTTGATGCGACGAGCTTACTATGGGTAGCATTCCTTGATCCCAAGCTGACATCCAGCAGTATACTGTCGTGTAGTCATTATGAGCCATGCAAGAGGCAGCAGGTTCATTGAAGTTTGTGCATGCTCTTGAAGCGGTGGTCAACCAGGCACCTCGACGTACGGTGAGGGGGGCTTTCAATAAACGCAGTATCTTCACGTCGGCCTGTATCTGCAGTCTTCTCGCTCCGTCCATTTTCGCCAAGCTGGGCATGTCAATTTCTGTCCAGTATTTAGGCGCTCGTTCCGATCGTACACACCAAACACGCGAGCACAGCTACTGCAATCACGCTAGCAAATCTCGCTTCCATGCGCCAGATTGCAGGATGATCTTGAATTCATGATTTCCGTATGCATGCCTGACGTCCGTAACATTGTACCAAATAGCATACATCAAGAGACATAATTGTGAGACACGAAGCATATGCTTCGCGCGTTTACCCTTGATGTCTTTAGTTGTTTCTTCATCTATCATGGATCTTACTTCCGATTTGTAGCCCCTGACTCCTTGTCTATTCCGCCTGGTAGCAGCTCTGAAGCCGCCATCGGTATCTAGAAGCTCGAGAGCCAAAGCGTAAGCGTCGGCCAGACATGCTCTGTTTTACACATCAGGCACAAGGCAGCAACAATGTCTCGGAGTGTATCATGAAATCGTGTCATTGCTCAAAGGCAGTTCCAATGCTGCATGCAAACAGTCAGATCTAAAAACCCATGACCGTCTACCCGTCAACGTTCGCCATCGCTAAGACCCCCCCCATTATATGTGTATGATTCGTTTAAATGTTGAAAGCACCCCGTGTAAAACTCCGGCAGTCGTCATAATGCATCGTCAAGAAGCTTCTCAGATCTTCTCGACCCAGGCGTCACCCTGCTTCTTCTCATCCAGGACACGCTCCTCGCCCTTCTCGACCTGCTCGACAGTGGTGCTGGGGGCAGACTTGGGGGCGAGGATGTTCATGCCCTTGCGGACCCAGTGGATGGAGGCATAGCCGAGGACGAAGATGAGGCCGATCATGGGCACGACGTAGCTGATCCTGGTGCCCTTGGCGTCGGCAATGGCGCCCTGGATGGGAGGGAAGACGGCGCCGCCGGAGACGCCCATGACGAGGATGCCGGCGCCGCGGCGGGTGTGGTGGCCGAGGCCCTCGGTGCCGAGGGTGAAGATGGTGGGGTACATGGGGGCGAGGAAGAAGAAGATGGCGATGAGGGCGCCGACGGCGCCGCCGCCCTTGCCGACGCTGACGTAGGCCGTCAGGGCCGAGGCCGCGACGGCGTAGACGACGAGGATGAAGTCGGAGCTCAGGAACGTGGCGATGCCCGTGGCGACGAAGCGGCCGACGGTGAAGATGATGAGGGCGTAGCTCAGCATAGTGCTGCCCTTGGAGGTCGTGAAACCGCCGTTCTCGTGAGCATAATTAAGAAAGAAGGTAGCTACTACACGGCCGTTAGTGGAGCTTCGATGGAAGTGTAGAGAGCTCTGGGAGACTTACTGGTAACCTGGGCACCGACGTAGCAGAGCTGGGCGAAGAAGGCGGCCCACATGTTGTACTGCTTCCAGATGGAGCCCCTTGACCTGACCATCAGAGGACTCCTCAATGGTAGCCTCGGAAATCTCGGGGAGCTTGGCAAAGAAGAACATGACGGCGACTGCGACACCGGCGCAGGCGACGGCGAGGTAGACAAACTGGACATTGGTGAGGCTGTTCTGGTTGGCGCCCGAGAAGAAGAACTTGGAGGCGATGAGGGGACCAATGAAGGAGGCGACACCGTTCCAGGACTGGCAGAACTGGAGGCGGGCCGAAGCGGACTCGGGCTTGCCAATGACGACGGCGTACGAGTTGGCGGCCGTCTCGAGGGTGGCGAGACCGCAGGCGATGACGAGGATGCAGGCGCAGAAGCCACCGAAAGCAGCGCGGCCGTTCTCGGGCTTGGCGGTAGCGACGACGGGCCAGAAGAGAATGGCGCCTAGGGAGTAGAGGCCGAGACCCATGAGGATGGTCTGCTTGTAACCGCGGCGCTTGAGGCACTCGGCGGCAATGGGAGAGAAGAGAAGGTAACCGCCGCCAAAGTACATGACCTGGAGGCCAGTGGACTCGAGGCGGGTGATGCCGAGGACGGTCTGGAAGTGCTTGTTGAGGACATCGAGAAGGCCGTAGGAGAAGCCCCAGAGGAAGAAGAGGGAGATGATGAGGGAGAGAGGGAAGATGAGGGCGCGACCAGTGAGATAGCCGCCAGCCAACTGAGGCGCGGCCGAGGGGATACTGCCGCCAGCCATGGTGGTGATGTGTGTGTAAGGGAGGTGGGTGAAGAGAGTTTGTGAGGATGTTGAGCTGAGGAAGAAGAAGCTCGAGACTCGGGCAGTGAAGCTGATGATTGTGATGAGGATGAGGATAATGAGAGACCTTCTGGAGTTGGCACCACAATGATCTTATATCTCGACGACAATGACTTGAGCTTGACTGACACGGCCCGTCTCTGGGGTATGGTTCAAGCTTTGCTCCAGCTCCCCCCCTTTGCCCCCCCATCAACCCCCCATCACCCACCCCCATCTGGAGAAAAAACGACTAAAGCGGTTGCATCACACTAGCCTCGTCCCAGCCAAAACGCAGAGCACCGGGGACTCCATGGGATGCAATGGAGTCTGGCCCCAGGACGGACTCGCCCCAGGGGCCCCAAGCCGAATTGGGTTCGGCAGGCCAAGGGGCAGTTGGAGCTGGTGAGGGGGGGTCAGAACTCTGAACTGGCGAGAGAAATCGCGCCCCACCTGTTGATGAACGACTATTCAAACACCATATGGCCAGCGTCGCGGGCTTTGTACCGGCACTAGACCTAAAGTAGCCTACCTTTGCTCAGCGTCCTCAGAGTTCAGTGTGGTTGTGTACTGGTGGGTGGGAAGGTCTTCCCCCCTGGCGCGCACGCCGCAACCTTCGCTCATTCATACGGCCAACCGGCATGATCATGGGCCCCAAGTGGGACGCACTGCAATTCGGCATCGCGTGTGTGGGGGAGTGGAAACGCTTGGCGCTTGTGGTCCGGTCAGGCCCGTCGAGAGGGTTTCCGGCCAATGGACATGGCAGAATGTAGCCAAGATTGACGAGTATGCAAGTGCCGGCGGACGCTATGCCAGTCAAGGAAATGCTGTGGAAGCACTAGATAGCAACGCTAGAAGACTCTCCCCCTGCTAGCTGTGTCTAGTGCCGTAGGTCTCGCCGAGAGAGCTCCTTGAGGCTGAGGAATGGCAGTTGGGCGATGCCCTCGACGAGACGCTGGCTGGGCTGGTCAAGGTGGAAATGCCGCACTCGAGATATCATCAGGAGACGTGACTGGCTGAGTGCGACGTGAACGGTCAAGGAAAGACGCTACCATGTGGTCCCTGGCGATCTTGTCCAAGGTACCAGCCCTGTCATCGACGCCCGCTGAGACCGATGTCGCCATGTTGAGGCCTGTTGGGTGGTGAAACGTTGACGACCTCACCTCCAGTTCTGCTCCGCGGGGTGGCATCGGAGACACATATGCATGCACAGGGGGTCAGGACGTGGAGTGATAAGCCTTTGTGTGATGTGATGCGCGTGGGATGATCTCGCTTGCGTGCGAAGGGAGAGGGGCGAGAGGACGAACAAGAGAAAACTTGTTTCGTTAGCCATCCACAACCACCTCAACGTTTGGAGATCGATCAAAATCATAGCTGTTGCTTTGGGAGTGCTGTGAAAGCCGCAAAACTACGTCCAACATGCTTTGCTGTGAATGTGGCGTTTTCGCCCACCAACAGGCCTTAACAGCCAGGCCATGACTATATTCCCCGACCTGTCTTAGCTCAACAGGCGAGGCCTCGAACCCGTCGGCGCCGCCAGCTCCCTCGCTAAATTGCTTGGAGGAGAGGGAGCTATGGAAAGCTCACAGCTGGCGATGCGGCTCTGGATCGAGCAGAATAACCACCACATCCTTGTGGCAGGTCTCGTTGAGGAGATGCACCCACCCAGCTGGACCTGGCCATGGTTAGTGCAGCGTTGATCATCGGGCCGTTACTGAGCTGGATGTCCCTGGCGCCAGAGCTTGAGCCGCGCCATGGTGGCCGCGACTCCACGCCGATGCTACTATGGCTGTCGTAGTCGATGGAGCCATCGAACCGAGCGACGCGCTTGCCTGGATGGGGATGAAGATGAGAGCCTGATGCCGGCATCGCCTAGGTCATGGCGTCGTCCTAGGCCCTAGGCTTTGGTCCTAGGCTCTGGTCCTTACAGTGAGGGGAAGCTTAGTTGTGGCGGCATCAACTAAGGTTCGTTTTCGCGGTCTCCATGTGCTCGTAGCGTGGGGGAGAACCTGGAGAGAATGGAGTGCGTGCACCACATCGCAGTCTTGACTGAACACCCATAGGGCGATGAGAAGGGAGGGGGCTGGCCATGCTGGAACCTGTAAACCTGAGGTGCTGCGGGGGAGGGAAAATGGGGAGACATGGTCTGGCCGGACATGGGCATGAAAGTTTGAATTCTGCAAATCTGCAGCCATTAGCATGGTGCCTACGCGTCGGGTCGACCATCAAACTAAGTCGTGTTGTTGCGGAGCCTTGGAGACAATGTGCCATATGGTGACGACAGCGAGTGGAAGCCAACCTCATCAACGTTGGCGGACATCTTGTGATCAGCTTGTAATGCCTGAGGCTTGGAGGATCTTCTCGTCAGGCCAATTTGTTTTTGATGATGGGCGCAGTTGTAGTGAGCTGACGTGAGATGCCGCTGACCCTCGCCATTTATCATGTACGCAAGATCACGAGGAATTGTTGAAGCCTTGGTCGTTCCTCTCGTTGAACTCAAATCTGCCCCGCCTCGTATGGCTTCTATATTCTTTGTCTCCACGCCAGTATACATGGTTTATCTTCCGGCGAAAAATCAGCAGGGTTGCAATGACCTTGCGTCGGCATTGCGGTTCGGCAGGTCGAGATCGCGCTCTCGGGTCGCTGTAAGGCAGATGACGATGCTTCATAAACAATTGCACCGCTGAAAAGAACATCAATTGGCGACCCATCAACGAAGGAATCGCATTTTCGTAACCCTAGGCTTCGATGTGCCGCGCATCACAAAATGGCTGTGCTGATGGATTTAATGCGGGATAAGCTGCGCGACTGGAAATACGCATCGCTAACTCCGACTGCCGTTTTCAGTGAAGCGACTGCGACAAATAAAACCACAGCGACCGACTGGCTTGCTCAGGAAAATGTCGTGAGCAAATGAAAGGGAAAAAAGCAAAGACCGCCAAACATTTCATCAGCAATCGCAACCGCAATCGCGAACAAGCATCATGCACCTCATCCTCACAGGGGCGACAGGCCTCGTCGGATCCGGCGTTCTGGACGCCATGATCAAGATGAAGGACGTGACCAAGATTTCCATCCTCGCGCGCCGCCCAGTTGCCATGGCTGAAAACGCCAAGGATCCCCGCATCAACGTGATCATCCACAAAGACTTCAACAGCTACAGCCCAGAGGTCCTCGACAAGTTGCGGGGCGCCAAAGGCGTCGTCTGGGCCCTGGGTATCAGCCAGAACCTCGTTAGCAAAGAGTGAGTTTGCGGCCCCGGCCAGGCAACACGGCCCCGGCCCTGCATCCCTCCCTGCCCCTGTTCCTTCGAGTCATGGTCTGACCGTCCTGGGGGGCGCCGCAGAGACTACGTCAAGATCACCAAAGACTACACCCTCGCCGCCGCCGAAGCCTTTGCGCCCCTCGCTTCTGCCGACGAGCCGTTCCGCTTCATCTACGTCTCCGGCGAGGGCGCCACGCACTCGCCCGGCCGCTTCACGCCCATCTTTGGACGCGTCAAGGGCGAGACGGAGATGGCCCTGTCAGAGATGCGCGCGACGCGCCCAGGCTTCCTGACCGAGTCGGTGCGCCCGGCGGGCGTGGATGCGGGGCAGCACGCCGCCGTCAAGCCGTACATACCGAATCCGGGGCTCGTGTACAATGCAATGTGGGTGCTTTTCGCGCCCGTCTTGCTCGTGGCCAAGTCGTTTCACTCGCCGACGGAGCCGTTGGGGCGGTTCCTCACGGGCATGGCGATGGGCACGTATGATGGTCCGTTGGCGGCTGGCGGGCAGGGTGTCCAAATGTTGAGCGGGGGTTCGAGGGTCGTTTCGAACGTTGGCTTCCGCCGGTTGTTCGGGCTGTGACATGGCGACGGTAGCAGAGGGCATGTCATGTTCTAGTATGGTGTACGATGAGTGTAGGATTAGCCATGCGGTAAGTGAGAGGACTTCGAAGTATGACGCGAGAGTTTCTTTCCCTTGAAGTGGCAACATAGTCATCCCTGGTAGGAAATCAGACCATCACTCGAGGCATCAACCAAGGCAAGAGCCTGGGTATACTTTCACACAGGGACCGGGGAAATCACTTGACTAGATGCATCTCGCGACTCATCTCCACAATGCACTCCGTGTCATTGACAAGCCACTGACCTGATTCGGCATACTTCAAACAGTCCGCTATACTTTCCTAGACCAGCAGTCCCTATGCCAGACCCTGCTCCTCTGCCGAAATCCTTCACTGCTGCTTCTTCACCTTCTGCTCTCCTGTCGGCCCATAAATCTTCTCCTTCACGACGCCTCCCACCTTGATCAGGATGAGGATGATGGCAATGACAGTGGCCGACTCCATGAACCTCAGCAGTAAGCTTGAAATGACCTTGAGGATTCGAAAGAAGGCCAACTCCCAGGCGGCAAATTCCTGTTCGACTTTTTCAGGCATCTTGGATGAGGGGGTGCCAAGACGATGACGACGCTAGATGCAGAGGACGAGCTGAGAGGCTCAAAGCTGTTGCTCAGCTGAAAGGTCATGGCACGATCAGTAAGGATTCCAGTCTCAAGTTGAATAAATAACCCACAAGCGATAGAAAAGCAGTCAAGGTTTTTCATGAGAGAATGGATTTGAGGGAGCATGGCCAACCTCGTTGGTCTTGTGACGGCTCTGTTTTGCAGGATCCTCAGAGCGGGTCAGATTTTTGGAGAGCCGGCCAATAATGCAGCCGAGATGGTGCCCAGAGAATGGCCTTCTTGGCATGATAATCTTTGGCAGGCTTGAAGGATGCGGACGCAAAGCGGCCCAAGTCGGTCGTGGGTCTGTGCCAAGGGGGTTGATTTTGTGGATGGGCTCAATGGGTCTCAAGAGAGGGCCGCATCTTCAAGCCGGGGACCCGGACCCGGGTCTAGATCGCAATTGCCCTATCCGAGGCCGACTTCCATTCGGGGGGGATGCCGAGACTCCGGGATCCCTACATTCGAGCCAAAGAACCCAACGCCTACATCTCTGAATGAGCAGAACTATCTATCAATGGTTCAATCAAGATATACACGCAATCATCAATGTCGGCAGCATGGTTGGTTTCATACCCTTCTCGGCCATTAAACCTGTCTGCAGCGGCACCAAGGCGTGGCTGCACTGGTCAATGAACCTACGCACGTAGCTGCGACAGGCAGGATCAAGCGTCCGGGTCGTTAAGATTACGCCGCCCACGGTGGAGACGGATTTGCACCGTGAGAGGGAAGATCCGGATGACAGCAAGAAGGAGAACAACCCGGGCGCAATGCGCACTGCTGAGTTTATGGACGTGGTGGCGGCGAAGCTGGAATGGCGGTGAGATGATTGCGCCGGGCGTGGCGGAGGGTGGCACGCCGACTTCCTACCAAGGACCAGGAGATGACGGATGAGGGCAACTACCTGGATGCTGGGCCGAAGATGGGATGTAGTGGTTGGCAAGCGTGGATCAATGACAGACAGAGCTTGTACACGTTGGATGGGCAAATCACTCTGTATGTATGTTCTCCAGACATTGGGACAACAAGAGAAAGGGCGTAAGCCGATTCGAAGGCGGAACAAAATCTAGTATTACGTATTTGACACAGTCTAGACATTATACTACTGATAGAATACCGATCAGCCCCATACAGACCAAACGCCGTCTACCTCGCAGCCCTGGCAATGCTGTTCGCCCGACTCGCCGAGGGCGTTCCTCTGGGCGTACCGCGAGGAGTCACGCGGCTCTCGCCAAAGAACCGGTTCTGCTGGCTGTACCGCCTGGTGCCCATCTCAGGCCGACCCCCGGGGACCTCTTCATGCGTGGCCGCGGAACCTAGTGAATGTTAGCAACGTACGCAAACAGAGAATGGCAACCTGGGGCAGACTCACTTCGCCTCCTCTCGGGCGGACGGTACACGCTCAACCTGCGCTGATGCGTGCCCTCGTCATCGCGCTGCTCGGCCAGTTTCTGCGCAAACGGCGACCGCTTTCGCAGCGTGGGGCCCTTCCAGTAGATGACGTAGACCGCGAGCACCAGCAGAAGCGCGATGCAGAAGAGAATGGTGCTGGCGTATTCCAGGTTGCGCCCGGACGACGCACCGATATTCGTAAAGAAGGGCGTCGCAGGCACGGTCAGGACACCGGCGAGGAAGTCGCGCGCCCATCCGTTTCCGCCCGTCGCCGAGGCAGAGTACGGTCCGTAGGCGCAGATCATGTAGTCAATGGTGGCCATGTAAATGGCATAATTCGCAATGCCGACGATGGCGGCGAAGATCATGGAGCCGATCCAGTGAATCGGTGGGCCTTGGATCGTCCACGCGAAGCCGATGAGGCCGATGGGCAGGCAGGGGGCGGTGTACAGGAGGAACCACAGACGGGATTCGTACTGCGCGCGCTCGTCGTTGGGGTTCTCGCGGCGCTCCTTGATGTTTCGTTTGATGGCGGGGATGAAGAGCAGCCAGGCGATGACATAGCCGATGCCGATGGGAATAAATGCCAGACCAATGGCTACGGTGCTGAAGTGCCACTGATCGTATACCAGCGCAAAGGACTGGATGAACATGAAAATCAGAGCGTCTGAGAAACCCGACAGAAGTGAAAGGACGAGAACGATTGGTTCCGTTAGAAACATCTTGAAAGGGCGAGTCCAGGTGATGAGAATCTCCTTGGCGGAAAAGCGCTCGCGAAAGGGGACGAGCTCGTCGGGGCCCCAGATATTGGGCGTTCCGTTCTTTCTGCGCTTCTTGGCGATGCGGTTCATCATGATGGTCGTGCGTGTCTCGGGAACGGTGAAGAAGTGGACAGCCTGGACGAAGCCGCCGAGGATGAGTTGGATCCAGATGGACCACCTGGAACGTTCAAGTCAGTCGACTGTTCACCAGCAATGAGTGTGCAAATCCCACTCACCTCCAGTCGAGATACTCCTCGGTGAAGCCGCCAACGATGGGGCCCAGCACGGAACCGCCGACGGATGAGAAGACCACATAGGCAACAGCGTATTGCTGCGTATCAGACTCCCACATGTCGGCAATCATGCCCAGCGTGACCGAGCCGCCCGCAGACGAAAGACCGCCAAGCGCCCTGCCGACCATGACGGTGGCAAAGTTCGGTGCCAGCGCAACAGGAAGCTGCCAAATGTTCACGAGGAACAGCGAGAGCTGCAAGACCGGCCAGCGGCCAAACTCCTCGGACCACGGCGCCCACAGCTCGCACCCAAACGCGTACATGACGAGGAAGATCATGGCGCCGCACCGCGCCGCCTGCGCGCTGACGTTGAACTCCTCCGAGATGCCGGGGATGGCGTTCGAGTACAGCGACGTGTTGAAGTTCATCGAGACCTGCACCCAGAAGATGACGGTGAGGATGTACCACTTTTTCCAGTTCGGGAAGCTGTAGCCCAGCTCTTCGTAGCAGTCGTCCTCGGTGATTTCGTACTTGTCGTTCGTCCCGAGCTTCTCGAGGTTGCCGTTGCGGCCCCCCGCGCCGGCGGCGCCGGCCTGGTCATTGTCGCTTGTGCTGTGGCTGTTTCGCTCGTCTGGCTTCTCGGAGACGGTGCCGTCTGCATTTTGTGTAAACGCGCGGTCGAGGCTGGCTTGCGGTATGACCTCTGGGGGCTCCTCGGTGAAGTGTGTTCTTGTCATGGTGGGAGCAACACCTGGGAGGCTGTTGACTGGGGGAGGATGCAGACAACACTTTGGTAGAGGGTTCGGTCTGTTCCAAAAGAAGTCTGTCCAAAGGAAAACGGGGCTTCTGGGGAAGTAGAGACGAAAGTTGAGGGGTAGCAATACGCGGCGCGAGGACGAAGAGCATATAAAGAGGGACGTGACGATCCTCCAGCTCGGCGCCGACTGAATTTACATCATTGTGCTTCCGCTCACAAAGCTGTCTTCTCGGATTTCCCATGGTCAGCACGATTGCCATGAGCCGCATCCACACTGACATCACGATGTGTTGGAGACCCCGGATGATCCAGTACGTGATGTGGGAATCTTTTGAGTCAGACTAAGGCCTTGCCGTTGTAACCGGAGCTCCATCTATGCTACTACTAATGAGCCGCTGCGTCACTGACGACACCATATGCAGAGTTGATCGCTCGATCTGGAAACTTGCCTTGACAAACTTTCTACGCCCATCCGGTGGTGGCCACCACGCGTAAACCCCCAGGATCCTCGTCACGAAGCAAAACAGCCTGGTTGTTCACAAGTCTTTGCTCCGCGATAGCCTCTTCGGCGCTTTACACGACTGGAATGTCGAACACGAGACACCATGGCAGATTGGTCGGGCTTGTCCAAAACAACATCTACCCGAACGGCAGTCGGCAGATGATCGGCAGCCAAGTGATGTCACCCGCGGCTCACATTGCTGTTGCCGTGGCGAGCTTATTCGCGGCCGCGTCTGGAAGCGGATCTAGCCCTACCTAGCGGCGAGCGAACCCGGCTGGATCGGCTTGCCGGGCGCGAGACAACCTTGGCAAAGGCTTGACCTCAGGTCCACGTAGGGCCGGACGATTCTGCATTCGGTTGATGAACGCTTCTCATACGCCCGTTTGGGTCACGACTTGAGATCATTGGCATCGCAGGGCCATTCAACGTGTTTCCGTCGTGATGCACTGATTGAACCAATGCAGACTGCATAATCATGGCTCCTGCTCAGTAATGTTGTTCAGCCTGGGCTGCAATTGAGCCAGGTTTGACTGGCCCTGTTCGTCGGTGTATGCGCGCAAAGCATGTCGCCGCATAAGTCGCCTCGGTGCACGGCGGCCGGTGAAGAGCTCAAACTGCGCAAAACCCTGTTCCGGCAGGAGGTCGAGGCCATCCATTGTAACCCAGCCCTTGTGGGAAAGCTTGCGCACCTGGTCGAGAATGGGCGTGTCGAGTGTTTTGTAACCCAGATCGACGAGGACACCACCTGTAGGGCTTTCCAGCCAGGCGGATGGTGCCACGAAATTGGGCGCTGGCACATCACCGATACTATGCGTCGGGATGCAGGAAACTATCAGAGTTGGCGACCGGAATTCTGCTGGCCACGGCTCGTCGAGCTTTCCAAGGACGTGGAAACGTGTTTCAATCTCCGAGCTGGCGCTCAAAAATGGCAAGTCACGCCGAGAGAGGAGTTGTGTGTAATGGCTGACCATCTTCTCCGCATTGGCAATTGTACGATTCCAGACCACGATGTTCCTCACACCAAGCTGCAGCATGGAGTAGATGGCCGCTCTTGCCATGCCGCCAGCACCAATGATGAGGCCACAGCTGGTTGGACGCACCGCGTTCGCCGGGGACAGCCCACGGCGAAGACAAGCTCGGATGCCGACCCAATCAGTATTGTCTCCATACAATGCCCGGACGGGACCGGCGCGATTGCGACAATTGAATAATTTCTCGTCCTCGGGAATCGTGCCGTCTGGATTCAGTCGTCGGACAGGGATTAGCGTATTGACCGCACCGATAGCCCGCGCGTGACGGCTGAGAGAATGCGTCAAGGTGATGATCTCAACCTTGAAGGGCAGGCCGACTGAGGCACCGGCAAAGGATGGGTCCTCGATCAGGTCTTTCAACCCCCGAAGTGTCGGCGTCGAGCAAGGGCGGTAATAGTGGGGGATCCCGAGTGCCTGCAAGGCCGCGTTGTGCATGGCTGGGGAAAGACTGTAGTCGACTTTGGCACCGACGACATACAGCTTCATGGGATCGAAAAGGAATGATCCATATAATGCTTGAGTCGCCTGTTGCGCAGTGATAAGGGGCTGGCCCAGATCATCGGGTGCACCACCATCGTTCAGTCGAGGCTCCGAGACAACACTTGTGAGGACGTGGTTCATGCAGGCCGAGTGTCGTCCCCGTGGCCCTGAGTTGTACGCGATTAAAGGCATGTGGCGACCATCCAAGGCCTCAACCTGTCCCTTGAACCGATCGACGTCGAAATTGTCCTTAATGGTCGTCACTGGCTTGATGAGACGAACGATATCGCAGCCTTGGCTTCGGGCACGGTGGTAATGCGAGAGCCAGACAGGATCATGCCATGTCGGACCGTTGATCGCAGCACAGGTAAAGTGTGCCATGATCTTGGATTTCCTCTTCAAGGCGACGACATGAGACATTTCATAGTCGCCTAGCCTCAGATCGACGGTTAGGTATTCGGGTACCAGTCGCAGGCCGTGAAAGAGATATTCCATGTAAACTGTTTCAAGGGATGAGCCATCGAGCGTGGCTGCTGGTAGAAGGACGTGATAGATGATGGGGATGACGGTGCTTCTTCGTATGTACCCGATGACCCTTGAAATGTCACTGGCTTTCTCCGAGTCGAGCGTTGGTGCCTGTCCCGTCTTGCTCACCGCCAAAGCAATGTCGTCTACCACAACTTCTATGGCATCAGCTCCGGTCTCTAGATCCTCAATATCGACCTCGTCACGAAGTAATCGCGAGAGAGGCACGGAGAGGGCATAAGTGAAGCGTCGATCCTCGGTGGGAATGGAGGCCAGAGGAAAGGCAGACTCGATGAACGGGATGGAACCGGCCGGCATGACGAGTGACAGGAATTTGAGGAAGTGGCGCTCAGCACGCTTCAGAGTCAGGTAGGGCGCTGGTGGCTTTTGGTTCGAGGGGACGCCGCCCCTGGGTGAGTCCGTCTTGGACGCCTCGACTGGTGACTCGGATACGTTGAAGAACTCGAGGTTACTACAGCTGCGGAAGATGGCACTGCTGGCGTTCAGAAGATTGCGCGTCTTGTCGTCGTCGTCAATCTTGAGGTGTTCCTGGATGGCCTTGGCGTCCCGGAGGATATGGACTATCGGATGGGTCCTGGCGAAATCACGAAGGAGGCTCTGCACAGCACGCTCCATCCATGAGCAGACGATGAGACAGCCTTTGGCGTGTTGGGTCAGGACCTCGCGCAGGATCTGGGCCTGGCGACGGTGACATTCAACGGGTCCATGTTCTCTCTTGTAAGCCAGACTGGTCGAGCCCGTGGCTTGTTGAAATGCCTTTTCGCAGTCGAGGGCTCTCCTCTTCATGGCCGTTGATGCAATAATGGCCAGCGTCGACTTGCCAGAGCCTCGGATGCCAGTCAGGACGACAGAGACATCGGCGGGAAAGGTAGGTGTCTCGCTGGGTCGGTGGAGAAGGGGACCAGGCGTTGAGTCTCGGGATATGTCTCGTGATATGTCTCGCGATATGCTGGTCGCTGGACAAGAAGAGTCAGCGATGGAAGACGACGTCGGGGACGATGCTGTCGCGAAAGGTATCGTACAATGACCTCCATTGTGTCGCTCCGGTGCGGCTCGGCTTCCGACACCATCCGACTCGTAGCCGTTGATTCGGGTGATCTTGCGATGCAATCCATGTTGGCCATCCAGCTCGACGGCCGAGAGAGGCCTCTTGATGCCTGCGATGGTCATGGCGAACGCAGAAGAGGCACGCACGATGTCGAAGGTCGAGGACCAGCTATGTGGGAGGCACGAAGGCACGGATGCATCGAGTCGTGCGCTTCGGTCACAGCTGATGGAGGTCGTGGTCGGTATTCGAGGAGTGGAATCGTGGGGGGTGTCAAGCAAGCAAGGTCGGGGTAGGGGTGGGTGGCCTGACTTGGCGGGACAAGTGGGTGTTTGGCGAAGGCGGCAGAGCGGATCGAGGGTCGCGATGCCTTGTGGTGGGACAAGCCATGGCGGGGGGGCTGATGCCTTTCCTCTGGCCGACTCGACTGCCGACCTTCCAGGCCGAGAGGCACACCCTGCACCCAGCCTGAAGAACGTTTATCCGGGAGGGGCAGGGCTATCAGGATACCTCGGGACGCAGCAAAACTGATGCGCCAACAGAGGTACCGAGGCTGGCCCCCCCCCCCTGAAGGCCCTGTAATTTGTTCACTGTAGCATGCTGCGGCCAGCGACCCTAGCACTGAAACTTCCCCAGAATCATTCCCCGCTCTCCACCACAATCGCCTCCCCGCAATGCGGTATCGGCCATCCAGGGAATTCCAGCTTCTCCTCACCAGATGGACGAGTCGCAACCGCTGCATTGCCAATTCCTTGCCGACGTCACACTACCTTGACCGCAGCACATGCCATCTTCATCCTGTCCCAAACATCAACCACGTGCGACATGATCCCTCGAACATGATCATTGCATGGTACGAAAGGTCACGAGAGCAGCCAGCTACCCGTATGCTTCGCGTCACCTAGTTGTCCCCAATCCGGGCAGCGTGTGGTGAAAGAGGACGACGGCCGCCCGAGGCACGCCAATCCGCCCCGAGAAGCATGCCTTCCAAGCGAAAGACCAATGATGTCGAAACCAACCCGACGTCAACCTCTGGCCCGGTGAAGAGGCAGAGAGTATCACGCGCCTGCGACCAGTGCAGAAGGTGAGCCTAGACCAGCTGCCAGGCCAGTGGCTGGCTCCTCAGTTCGGGGTAGATCGCCATACATGGGGAGCTCAGCATGATGCGCCTGGATCCTTGATCGAACAAACTCAGGCTGACACACAGCAGCGCGCGAGAAAAGTGCGACGGCATCCAACCGCAGTGCTTCGCCTGCGTCTCGCTCAACCGGGAGTGCACCTACAACGTCGCACCCAAGAAGCGAGGCGTCCAGACTGGCCTCATCCGCACCCTCGAGTCGGCTCTCGTCTGGGTCTTCGAGCAGTTCCCCGGCACCGAGGCTGCCTTGAATGACTTGCTGACGCAGGAGTCCGGTCCAGAATCCCTCCTCATTGGCAAGGAGAGCGAGGCCGGTAACCGTCTTCATCGACGATGGAGAAAGTCCAAAACGTGCAAGGAGATCGACCGACTCTTGTCCGGCAGAGATGGCTCGAGCCCTAAGATAGAAGGATCCGAGGAGGATGAGTCCAGCACAGAGGCAGATCAGCTGGGTCAGTCTTCTGGAAAGGGACGCAATGTGCCATCTACAAATGATACTACGGCGAACCCGGCAAATCGAAGCTATAAGCTGCCCAACAATTGTTCTCGACTCCTCGATATCTACCTGGCCTATACCCATTCCTGGTTGCCTATTGTCGACAGGAGCCGCCTGCTCAATCTCGTGGCTGAGCGACACTCGGACGAGATTCGAGATGCAGAGCTATGGAGCGCTCTCGCAGTTGCTGCGTATCAAGACCCGAGCCATACGACAGATCCGTCGGCCATATACTGCACAGCACGAAGCTTGCTTCCATTAATAGGCGATTCGCAAGCAGGTTTGCTCAAGCGACGTACATCAAGCATGACGAGCCAACGACACGGCAAAGAGGCAGCTGTCGATGGCGGAGACCAGGCAGCTGAGGAGCTTGCGGTTTTACAATATGCAAACGCGTTCCTTCTTCTCTCCTTGGTCGATCTCGGCCAGGACAAGCCATCCAATGCGTCTCTCTACATTGGTCTCGCAGTGAGGACCGCCATGGGACTTCGAGACTTGACTGCAATTGCGACTCCGCAAAGCAACCACTTGCAAAGCAGAACAGTTAGGGCTTGTTTCTTACTGGATACGATAGTATCCGTGCGTATGGGCCATACATCACATCTGACACCGGCTTCACTTGATGGCCTGACCCCAATATCTGAAGAGGGGCCAGAGGAGTGGGATTCGTGGGCCCCTGAGCCAGGTTTTGGCTCCGACGTCAGCATCGGCTCCGGTGATTCTTTGCAGTCTGTTCAGTCCCTGAGCTCTTTCAACCAGCTTTGCCGGTTCGCTCGTATCCTGGGAAAGGGATTCGCAGGATCACATACCCCTCGCTCGGCAGAACTGGCTGCAGCATTGGATCCACGCTTCTCTTTCTGCAATTCTATTCTGGGAGGATCGACCCCTTTTCTCCCCACAGCCTTTCTTCTACAAACCACCTTCTTAGGTGCCACCTTGGCGTTAAATCCAGAAGCTCGCGTCTCTTTGGTATGGACGCTTCTGGAGGCGGTAGAAAACGCATGGCAACATCTCGGACCTGGGACATCGCCTTTACTCATCACCTTTATGGGTATGGCAAATCGGCGGACGAAAGGTCTGGGAGGAGAAGATAAGGAGAGATGGGACTCTCTTATGACCAGACTGAAGGCCACGTGGCAGCGGGCGACCGAACCCTCGCAGGTAACTTCTGTAGCGCCACCAGCACCAAACCTTATGGTGTACCAGAGTCACTCGCCAGCGCATCGGCACAGTCTGCCCGTGGCTACACTGGCGCAACAAAGCCAGGAAGCTCAACCTCCGCAGCAGCAATATCACGCCTTGCTTACACCTTCGGAACATTATCCGACATCTACAACGAGTTTCTTGGGTGGAGGAACGGCAGCAAGTCCGTCTACTTCGCGCTCGATCCCATTCACGCCCGGCAGCAACCAGATACCGGGGTACTCTGCTGGCATGATGAGCCCGATGCTTCAGATGCCCCATTACATGCTTCTACCAGGGCATGAGTCGATGATTGACCACGATGCCATCCTGGATGAGCTAGCTGCAATAGACTGTACAGATAGTATGGACGCAGACCCCCAATTCATGGCGAATTTGGGGTTCGCGCCGGGGTCGGATTTCACAGACATGCGTGGAGAATTTGGAGCGTTATGAATCTCAAGCGGAATTTTAATTTTACCTGATCTCATGGCCCGAAGTTTGTTACGGCATATGTAAGCCGATACGGCAGTTGTTTCTATGTTCTTCGTTTCCTACTGTGTGTCCCCGGAATTAGGAACTTTCTGTTCCCATGGATCTGGACATATGCCAGGGTATAAGCAGCCAGGACTTACCTGTGGTTGAAGACATATCCATGAGGTCCATCAATCGCCTCGGTCATGTGACTCCAGGGCCAGGGAGCCGTCTAGAGACACTCGAGCCTAGGGGAGGACAATTCATTCAGCGTGCAAAGGACAACACAAAGACGGGAGGCGAGGCGGCTGAAAGTTCTGACGGCTCCATCCCTCTTGATCGAGTCATTTTAGTGGCTACGCTATCGCCTGAAACGGGAAACCCGTCGTGCATTGTCGAGTCAAGCCACGCTGGATGAACATTCATCCACACCAACAAGGATGCTGCTGGGCGACGTCACATGGAACTGCCGGGATCCAGAACAACCTGGCGCCCCCGGCGCAGAGACCAATCTTGGATGGCTGGGCGGATGCTGATCGAGGTGGGTGAGCCCTGGGCAACTTCAATCCGATCCCGCTGGTAAGGGTTCATCCTGCACGCCCAGGAGAACTTCATCGCACACTGGCGGCATCACGGCCTCTCACAGGACGTCTCACATTCTACCCCGGATTCCCGCCCACTTGGCTGAGCTGGGGTAAATGGCTCTCCGCGAAGTCAAACAGGGTTGAGCCACGCGTGTACTACACAGCTTCGCTGCACCCTCCACACAGACGGCCAACTCACATCCTGGACTATAATACCTGCAAAACCTCGAACTTTGGCAAATTCTTCCCCTTCCTCACCCTCCTTCATCAACCCAACACACTCTCCCCCTCTCTTGTGCCCTTACCACCCACTCGGGTATCTTCTCTTCTCTGCCACACGAACCGAAGGGTACACCCTGAGTCACCATGGGTATCCTCACTCTCAAGGAAGACAGGCCGACGCCCAAAGCCGTCTACAACTGGCGCGTCTACATGTGCGCCTCGGTCGCGTCGTTCGCCGCGTGCATGATCGGCTACGATTCTGCCTTCATCGGCGGCACCATCGCCCTGAAGTCTTTCCAGGAAGAGTTCAACTTTGCCCAGTACAGCGACAGCGCTCTTGCTCTGACGCGCGCCAACATTGTCTCCGTCTACCAGGCCGGTGCCTTCTTCGGCTCCCTCAGCGCCTATGTCTCGTCCTACTTCCTCGGCCGCCGCAAGTCTCTCCTCCTCTTCGCCCTCATCTTCACCGTCGGCGCCGGCATGATGTGCGGCGCCAACGGTGACCGCGGTCTCGGCCTCATCATCGGCGGCAGAGTTCTCGCCGGTTTCGGCGTTGGTGGATGCTCCAACATGACACCCATTTACATTTCTGAACTTTCTCCACCAGCCATCCGTGGCCGGCTGGTCGGCATTTACGAGCTCGGATGGCAGATGGGTGGTCTCGTCGGCTTCTGGATCAACTATGGCGTCGACTCTACCATGACCCCCGGCCACTCCCAGTGGCTGACGCCTATCGCTGTCCAGCTGATCCCCGCCGGCATGCTGCTTGTTGGCGCCGTCTTCATCCCCGAGTCGCCTCGTTGGTTGTTCTCGAAGGGAAAGAATGAGCAGGGCCTCAAGGTTCTTTGCTGGATTCGGTACGTTTTAACTTAATATTCTAGGTCATATATCAGATCGCTGACCCAGAGTCCAGCAACCTTGAGCCTACCGACATTTACATTCAGGAGGAGATGTCCTACATCAACGAGGACGTCGAGAGGTACCGCCGCGAGGTCGGTGCCGGTTTCTGGAAGCCCTTTGGCGCGCTCAAGCAGAAGAAGATCCAGTGGCGTTTCTTCCTTGGTGGCATGGTAAGTCCAATCATGGTTCGTTTCCGTTTCTCGCAGCGCTGACCATGGACTTCAGCTGTTCCTCTGGCAAAACGGCTCGGGTATCAACGCTGTCAACTACTACTCGCCCACCGTCTTCCGCTCTCTCGGCATCCGCGGCACCAACACTGGTCTGCTCACTACCGGTATCTTCGGTGTTGTCAAGACGGTGCTTACTTTCGTCTGGATTCTGTGGATGATCGACCACATTGGCCGCCGCAACCTGCTCATGATTGGTGCCATTGGCGGTTCCATCTGCATGTGGATCATTGGCGGCTACATCAAGATCGCCGAGCCGCAGAACGCCGACGAGAACGCGGCCCTGACGCCCGGCGGCATCGCCGCCATCTTCTTCTTCTACCTCTGGACCGCCTTCTACACGCCCTCGTGGAACGGCACGCCCTGGGTCCTCAACTCGGAGATCTACGACAACAACACCCGTTCCCTCGGCCAGGCCTGGGCCGCCGCCAACAACTGGCTGTGGAACTTCATCATTTCGCGCTTCACCCCGCAAATGTTCAACTCGTGGGGCTACGGCGTGTACTTCTTCTTCGCCTCGCTCATGATCCTCTCCGTGCTCTTTGTCTTCTTCCTCATCCCCGAGACCAAGTCTATCCCGCTTGAGGTCATGGACAGGCTGTTCGTCACGAAGCCCGTGTGGCGCGCCAACCAGATCATCATGGCCGAGCTGGCCTCGGATGAGGGCGGCCTCCGTGCCAACGCTGAGGGAAACGTCATGGAGAAGGGCTCGCAGGAGGGCGAGGTTGACCAGTACGAGAGGAAGCAGGACCTGTAGAGGAGAATTGGTCGGCTGTTGGAGTTGTATTACTACTAAGATGGGAACCGTCCTTTGCGGCGCGATTCTGTGCTGCTAGATGTGGGAGATGTCTAATGAAGCATTTTGCGAGCTCAATCAGGAAACTGAATGAATGATGTTTTGTCAGTGCTGAGAAAGTGAATGCTTTGGCTTGTTCGAGGCGGTCAGAGGAAGGAAAGTTCCTAGTGAAAAGTCCTGGATCTTTATCTGGCACTGCTAGCGGGTTCCTCTAGATGGGATGCTCGTGTTGGACTTTGCGCGATCAACGACCTCATCAAGTTCAATAGTAGATATTTCACGATTTTGACTGAAGACGAAGTATTGCTGTAGAACTCTGCGGGTTTTGGCTTCCGTCTTCGACGTGGCCTGGTCTGGTGTGTTCCGTCCACACTTTCATCCGCAGAATACGGTGGCCCTTGCGTGTTGCCATTCATGCAACCAGGAGGCCTCTGTAAACAGTCCCAGCCCCCAGCAGAAAAGAGATGAATGCCACTTGATCCATTTGGAACCAGGCGCAAATTGCGCAATGTCCCTGGGTATTCAATGATCCGTCTTAGGAACGAGAAGAGCAACCTATCATGCTCCCTTGACATGAGCCAAGCAGTTCCCATGCGTCTGCCAAGATGGTTTGTCGACTGATCGGAAACTAGTTGCTGTGTCCAAAGTGCATGCTACACCTTCACTCTCAGCATTGCTTGCACATCTTTCTTGATGATCTACTGTTTATTGCCTATCAAAACATGCACATAATACATCGCTATGACCAAACCCAATGTTTTTCCCAGTTTACAACTTTGACGCCTGCGCCAGTCGTGACGCGATAGCCTCCTGCACCTTCTTGACCGGCAGCTGGTCGAGCTCCCGGCCAGTCCAGTACCGGTCCTGCTCGAGGCCCTGCCAGATCATGGCCTCGGTGCCGAGGATGACCTGCCACCCGGCGTCCTCCGCCAGCGCGCCCAGCTCGGTGAAGGGGGTAGGGTTGTAGCACATCTCGAGCATGGCGCCCTTTGTCTCCTTGCCGAGGAACGCCTCGATGACGGCCCGCGCCGCCTTCTCCTCGGCAGTCTGGGGCGTAAAGTTGGGCACGCAGGCGACGATGGCGCCGACGCTCTCGAGCGCGGCGACCTCGGCCGCGTCCTTGACGTGGCGGAGGCCCTGGCCGTAGCCGCGGGCGGTGCACTCTTGGATGACGGCCTGGACCTCGGCGTCGTCGCGGTTGACGAGGTAGATGTCGGTGACCTTCATCCACTTGCGCAGAGCATAGACGGCGGACCGGGCGGCGCCGCCGCCGCCGACGACGACGGCGGGACGGTGGTGGAAGACGGCGTCGGGGTCTGCGACGTTCTGGTAGAACGACTCGCGCACGCCGACGACGTCGGTGTTTGTGCCGCAGTAGATGCGAGAGCCGTCGGGGCGGTGGCGGATGAAGAGCGTGTTGCAGGCGCCGACGTCGCGGCACTCTTCGGTCAGCTCGTCCAGGTGCGGGATGATGGCCACCTTGTTGGGCATGGTGACGGAGGCGCCGTAAAAGTTGGCGTCTTTGATGAGCTCGAGGAACATGGGGATGTCGGCCGAGTCGAGCCGTGTCTGCTCCCAGTTCAGGCCAATCTCGTTGTAGATTGTGCCGTGAAGGAAGGGAGAAAGGGAGTGCGTGATCTTTTGACCGAAGAGGTAGCCATGGCGCTCAACGGCCTCACGCCTCTCAGCCTTGATGGTGTTGGTGAGCTGTGCGCTCGGGGTTATTGTAAGTGTTGTGGACATTGTGTGAAGAAGGATGCGATGTAGTGTGAGGGGTTGAGGTCGAGTGAGGGAGAAGTTGAGAAGAAGGTGAGGCTCGATTATTTTGTTTCGGAGACTCAATCGAGTGAAGCGATGGAGGGTAATCAACAGTATGAATGAGGCAGACGGTTGATATGCATCCAGCTGTTGACAAACTGAGTCGGGAAACGTGCGTTCTTAGATAAGGTTCCCTTGAGTGACGTTTGTACGAAAAGCTCCGGTGGCGAGGGGAGCGAGTTTCCGAAAGTTGATGGGTCGTATGGGGTTTGATTCAAGATCCAGCCGTGCCAACTCCGCGAAACTGCCGTCGCTGGCTGAATGTTTGATGAGTTCCCCGGATGTTCTGGGGAAGAAGCGTAGCGTGGGCAGCGATTACGACTGCTACACGCGATCCCGTCGGCAAATCAATGTTCAGACTCTTCATTGACCCAGACAAGGCCGTCGGAGCAGCCGTGCAAGTCCGTGGCACTGTTCAGCAGGCAGAGTCTCCATTTCGAGTGGGAAAATGCTGTGGAGTTGCCAAGGGCGGATCGACATTAGCGGCATCCGGCCGGCTAAGTCTTTATCCCTTGGACTGGAAGAGCGCTTCGCTTCTCCCCTTGGTTTCTAGAGCCTCCACAACTTCCAGCTCCGGAGGTTGATCACGCCCACCTCGTGGCTGCTGCGGACTGCGTCACCACGTAACATGATGTAACGGCTAGCCTCGGCGGATCGATCAAATCGATACCAGTGCTTCCCAATCACTCGTGGGCGAAATCTTTCATCCCGCTGACGGGCCACCCAAGGCCTGCGGGTGTCCGTCTGGGAAAGGCTGCCAACCACAAGCGGAAGGTTGTGTGGTGCCTCGGGGAGAACGTCAAACGAGCGTACATGGTTGGCAGTGTAAGGCGGAGGCCCTGATACCCCTTTTGATAGCTGCACGTCCTGCTTCTATGGTTCGTTTGTATTTTTGAATTTTTGAATACAAACGTCAGCCTGACCTTCATCATCAAACAATACCCCTGAATCTCCAGTTGTTTGCTCTCTGCAGTGTCAAATCCTGCCTCGAGCCTCTTTACCTCGTTTGTGTAACAAGGCATATTTTTCTGATTCACCGTTGGTCATTCACCACGACTTGATACCTGAGTGGTCGATAGGGAGTGTTATTGTTTCTTGCATGATTCACTGTCCAACCCATCACCTACTTAAGAAGGACCCCAAGTGATACTTCCTGATATACACCATACATCAACCACGCTCAACCTACTAGTACTGCCATCATTGCAATTCTTTCATCACGAAACTCATCATGCCGTCACAACTCGCCATCAGCACCATGTCCTTGGGACGCTGCTTTGCCGGCCACGCTCTCGAACACAAGCTCGACATGGCGGCGAAGTACAACTACCGCGGCATCGAGCTCTGGCACGAGGACCTCATGGACGTGGCCGAACGATACACCGGCGGCTCGGCGCTCGTGTCGAACCAGCTCGCGGCAGCCCACGACGTGCGGCGGCTCTGCGAAGCGCGCAACCTCCACATCCTCTGCCTGCAGCCGTTCCAGCACTTTGAGGGCCTCCTCGACCGCGCGCAGCACGCGCGGCGGCTCGACGAGCTCCGCATCTGGTTCCAGCTGGCGCACGCGCTGCAGACGGACCTCATCCAGATCCCGAGCAACGTGCTGCCGCGGGAGCAGGTGTCGGGCGACCTCGCCGACCACATTGCCGACCTCCGCGAGGTGGCGGACATGGGGGCGGCGGCGACGCCGCCGCTGCGGTTCTCGTTTGAGTCGCTCGGCTGGGGCGCCGTGTGCGACACGTGGGAGGCGAGCTGGGAGGTGGTGCGCGGGGTGGACCGGGCCAACTTTGGGCTGTGCCTCGACACGTTCAACATTTGCGCGCGCGTGTACGCCGACCCGACGGCGGCGACGGGGCGGGTGGCGCGGGCGGACGAGGCGGTGCGGGCGTCGATGGAGCGGCTCGTGGCGACGGTGGACGCGGCGCGCATCTTCTACGTGCAGGTCGTCGACGCCGAGCGGCTGCGGGCGCCGCTGGGGCCGGGCCACGCCTTTTACGACGCGGCGCAGCCGGCGCGCATGAGCTGGTCGCGCAACTGCCGCCTGTTCTACGGCGAGCAGGCGCGCGGCGGCTACCTCCCTGTGCGGGCGGTCGCGTCGGCCATCTTCCAGGGTCTCGGGTTCGAGGGGTGGGTGAGCCTCGAGCTGTTCAACCGGCGCATGTCGCAGCCGGACCCCGGGGTGCCGGAGGAGCTGGCCAAGAGGGGGGCGGCGTCGTTTGCCAAGCTCGTGCGGGACATGAGGATGAGGGTGGAGGAGCCGGTGCTGCCGGTGACGGCGTCTCTGTAGGCGGGCGGTTGAATGGTAGCGTTGTTGTTGATGCAAGGGGTGATGATTTCATTGCATGATGTTGGAGGGAAGTTTTATGTTGCTATTCTACAAGGCAGAGGCCACCTGGCGCCAGGTGAATGCCACTGGCAAGGGAATGTCACCACATTGCAAAGACGACTGAGAACTGCCATGCTGCCATGCTGCCATATGATACTGACTGTTGCATAAAGAAGATTATTCTTGCCTTCATGTAAAGCTACACCCCTCCTTCATCTTCATGTGGCGCGCCGCAAACTCGACAGCCGCCGTGTAGCCATAGGTGCCGAGGCCGCAGATGACAGCAACGGCCTTGTCGCTAAAGTAGCTGTGCCGGCGCCAGGCCTCGCGGGCGTGGACGTTGGAGATGTGCGTCTCGACAAAGGGAATGTCGACGCCGAGCAGGGCGTCGCGGATGGCGACGCTCGTGTGGGTGTAGGCGCCGGGGTTGATGACGATGGCGTCGGCGGTGCCGCGGGCGTCGTGGATGCGGTCGACGATGGCGCCCTCGTGGTTGGACTGGAAGGCCTCGAGGTGGACGTTGAGGCGGGCGGCCTGGGCCTTGGCCTGGTCGACGACGTCGGCGAGGGTTGTCGAGCCGTAGACGCTGGGCTCGCGGGTGCCGAGGAGGTTGAGGTTGGGGCCGTTGATGAGGAGGATGCGCGAGGCCATGATGGGGGTGTGCTGGCTGGGTAGAGGGTACGGAGCAAATGGGATCAACTGGGAGGTCTGAGAGGTCTGAGAGGTCTGAGAGGTCTGAGAGGTCTGAGATGGGCGTCACATTTCGTTTTCTTCGTTGCCTCTATGCTTACCAGGCGTGAGCTGTCACCAGGCTCGAGTTGCGGCTAGGCACGAGTACGGCCAGGATGAGTACGCCATGCCGACTGATGACCTCGGATGACCAGCCAGGAGATCGCGGCAACGAAGGACGGTTCGGAAGAGTGTCGCTCGAGGTGGATAAGTCTTCTTCCTGGGCCTCGAGGGATAGCATGTACGTGGGTGTGTACATGTACCATGGGCGACAGCTTATCCGCCATGAGATCTGCGCTGCAGCCGCCAGATCTGCGCTGCAGCCACCAGATCTGTGTGGGGATGACTGGACGAGCATGTTGCAGACAGGTCTTTGACATTGCCTTTGATGACCGTGTGACCGTGGCCCTGGATGCTCAGTCTGTCGGTTGATCATGAGGGTCGAGATGTGCAGGTGGTAGGGTTGGTGCCTTGACCCGAATGCCCTAAGCTTTAGCACTTGGGCTTAGCACTCATGCCCAGCACCCAAGCCCAGCAGCACCGCCCCAGCACCCAAGCCCAGCAGCACCGCCCCCGCTCCCAAGCCCTGAAGCAGCACCCAAGCCCTGAAGCCCCCCTGAAGCCCTGCGGCCCCTCAGCGGAACGTCGGCCGCCGATCTCGGCTGGCGGCGGCCTTGCACTCCGATCGCAGCTTCCTGAGCAGCGGCCAGGCAAGTACCTGCCCACTACGTGCCTGCCTACTACGTACCTGGGTACCTACCTTAGGTACCTAGGGAGGCAGGAAGTGGGAGGAGATACAGCCTCTGGAGGCTCCCTCCTGCATCACACTCTTACCCATCTACAGCCTCCAGAACCAGACGACATCATGGCCGACATGAGCGATGCCGAGCTGCACGAGATCTACGACTTTGCCGTCCAGCTCGGCAAGGACGCCGGCGACCTGCTGATGAAGTTCGCCATGGCCCGCTTCACCGGCGGCGCTGTCGGCGAGCAGGCCTTTGAGGAGAAGGACAACGCCGTCGATATCGTGACCAAGGTCGACCAGGGTGAGCAGGCCGCCTCCTCATGGCAGTGGACTGGCAGTTCCGAGGACTGACGAGCATAGACATGGAGGCCTTCATCCGCTCGTCCATCGAGAAGAAGTACCCCTCACACGCGTACGTGCCGGTTCTTGGACTGCCTTGTCTGAACAGCACCTTCTCCCCTTCCCAACAGCCTCCAGACAGCCCCCTCCGATACTCCTCACTCCCACACACAGTCCACAGACACCATAGACACCACACCACACACACCACACACACCACACACACCACACACTGACACCCGCAGCTTCCTCGGCGAAGAGTCCTACTCGGCCGGCGCCTCGCGCGACTACCTCGTCACCGCCGCCCCGACCTGGATCATCGACCCCCTCGACGGCACCGTCAACTTCACCCACCTGTTCCCCCTCTTCTGCGTCTCCATCGGCTTCGCCCTCCACGGCCGCCCCGTCATCGGCGTCATCAACGCCCCCTTCCTGCACCAGCTCTTCACCGCCTGCCGCGGCCGCGGCGCCTGGCTCAACGACACCCAGCCCCTGCCCCTGCTGCGCGACCCCGGAGTGCCCCCCTTGCCCGCCGCCGCCCCCAAGGGCTGCATCTTTGCCTGCGAGTGGGGCAAGGACCGCCGCGACGTCCCCGACGGCAACATGCACCGCAAGGTCGAGAGCTTTGTCAACATGGCCGCCGAGGTTGGCGGCCGCGACGGCAAGGGCGCCATGGTCCACGGCATGCGGAGTCTTGGGAGGTGAGTCTGCTTGCTCCGAGTCAATGCCTCTGGACGAATCAATGCCTCTGGACGAGTCAATGCCTCTGGACGAGTCAATGCCTCCGGACGAGTCCATGCCCCCGTGCTGACGTGCCAGTGCGACGCTCGATCTGGCCTATACCGCCATGGGCGCATTCGACATTTGGTGGGAAGGTGGATGCTGGGAGTGGTGAGTGCTTCCTAACGACTTCACCCATCTCGTCTGACCGCTACAGGGACGTCGCTGCTGGCATCGCCATCCTCGAGGAGGCCGGCGGTCTCGTCACGACGGCCAACCCACCCGACGACGCGGCGACAGTCGACATTCCCGAGGCCAAGCTGGGCGGCAGGCTCTACTTGGCCATCAGGTATGCGGCCATCCCAAATGTCTGCCTCTCTTCCCCTAACACGAACGCCACAGGCCTGCGGGACCCTCGGACACCGAAACCGGCCGGCAAGGACAGGAGAGGGTCGTCCGCGAGGTCTGGAGGAGGGTCAGGGAGCTGGACTACGCCCGACCCGGTGTGGAATCGAAATAGACGCGACGCAATACCCAATAGTACCTCATCATGTTCACCCGCCCGAAGATTCACGATGAACAGTTGGAAGATTTCTCATGTTAAGCTGATCAACCTATACAGCCGTCTTGACCGAATCACCTCACTCCTCACAAAACACCAACGCAAAGGTAGCTGTCCGCCCACATCAACGTGCAATCGGCCCCGATCCCCGGGTTCCACTTGACGAGGTCCGCCAACGACACCTTGTACCGATTTTGAATCGTCGCGCAAATCTGCCCCTTCTCAACGAAATGAAACGTCCTGCACGTCGCCACCATGCCCGGCTGAATCGGCGCCGGCGTCACGACACCCTCGCCCGGGTTCGTCGGCGTCGGCGTGAACCCGACGATACCGACGCAGGCGTAGGCGTCGCGCCGCAGCCCGGCGCAGTTGCTGCCGGCCTGCGGGTTCCACGCGAGGAATTCGGCCACGGGCACGCCGTACCGCGCCGCCACGGTCGAGCAGCGGTCGCCCGAGACGACGAGGTGGAACTTGTTGCAATGCGACACGAGCGCCGGCTGCGTCGGCTGCGGCGTCGTGATGCCGTTGCCCGGCGTCGTCGGCGTGTGCCCGATGACGGACACGCACGCGTAAGCGTTGGGCTTGAGAAAGTTGCAGCCGGCGCCGACGCTTGGGTTCCAGCTGATAAAGTCGGCGAGGCTGATGCCGGCGCTCTGGGCGACGTCGCCGCACACGTCAAAGGGCTCGATCATGACGAACGCGTCGCAGTTGTCGGCCATCTTGGGCTGTGCCGGCGACGGCGTGGCGATGCCGTTGTCGGGTTGGGTCGGCGTGTGGCCCCACGTCGACACGCAGGCGTAGGCGTTTCGCCGGAGGCCCGCGCAGTTGCTGCCGGCCTTCGGGTTCCACTGGAGAAACTTGGCCACGGGAATGCTGTACTTGGCCGCGATGGTCGAGCACCGCTCGCCGGCGACGACGAGGTGAAAGTTGTTGCAGTTGCTGACGAGATCCGGCTGGGTCGGGGCGGGCGTCTGGAAGTTGGTGCCGGGGTTGGCCGCCGACGGCAGATACCCAATGGTCGAGACGCAGGCGTACGCGTTCGTCTTGAGGCCCTTGCAGCTGCTCAAGGCACCGGGGTTCCACTTGAGGAACGCATCGACCGGGATGCCGAACTTGGCAGAAATCGTCGAGCACCTGTCGCCAGACACGACGAGGTGGAACTGGTTGCAGTTGCTGACGACATCTGGCTGGGCCGGTAGAGGCGTCTGGATGCCGTTGTTCGGGTTCGTCGGCGAGGGCGACCAGCCGATGACGGAGACGCAAGCATACGCATTCGTCTTGAGGCCCTTGCAGCTGCTCAAGGCCGCCGGGTTCCATTCCAGAAACCGGTCCACGGGGATGCCGTACTTGGCAGAAATTGTCGAGCACCGATCTCCCGAAACGACGAGATGGAACTGCGCGCAGTTGCTGACGATGCTGGGCTGGACTGGCGACGGGGTCTGGATCCCATTGCCGGCTGTGGTCGTGCTGGTGGCAGTCACTGTTGACGTGGGCGAGGGGGTCAACGTTGAAATCACCCCTGTCCGGGTGGCAGAGAGGGAGAGAACGGGGTCAGCTTGCCGACGTCTGCTGGGTCCAGCAGCTGCCGGCCCACCGACGCCGAGAAGGGCGACGATGAAAGCAGTGCTGAACTTCATAGTGGAGAACGAATCTGACAAGAAAAGGAGCGCTCGTCGGTACCGTTTGGCGCTACTCTCCTGTGACTTGATTTCGCCAGAATCTGATGCTTGGAGGCCCTGATGGGATTCAAGTCGACACCGTGAGTACTTATACAGCCGTGGCGGCACCTTCAACGGCTTTGCCTAGCGCTCAATAGGCTGCCGAACCAATGTCATCTGGTCAAACCCGTCTCGAAAGAGTCACCTCCATCACCGACGGCCTGTATAGGAAGGAGACTCGAGCTCCTCAGCCCTACTGAGGCCCCATACCAGGGACCAGACCGTCCACAGCGGTGCCTCCATTTGGCCGAGGGCTTCATTGGCTTGCTGCCTGGACACTTGACCCCGAAGGGACCAACTACTGCAGGGGTTATTCCATTTGATGGGACTGGTAGAATGGTGGTGAAGATGGGGGTGGGGTTCGTGAGATCCTCTGGCGCTGCGGCGCCGCCTTTGCCGAGATGGTCTCTTTTGGGATGCATCCAATATCCGGGGTGCGGAGGCAGAGGCTTCACAGATAGGTCAGCTTATGGATAGATAGCGGGTCGATCGTTGACGAAGATGTAGATGTTTGCGCTGCTCGTGGTGAAGGTCTGGGACGAGGGGCGAGATGAGCAGCGTGAGAGTTGGGTCTGGCTTGCTCGTGAACAGAAGACCCTGCGCCGCCAGAGCAAACAGTCATCTGTCGCGAACTCATTTACGGCGACATCTGCCCATTGATCGACTGAGACGGAGCCATCCGCCTTGCACATTTGCAGATAGCAACAAAAAGCATCGCACACATGCCAGCTCGACATCCTGCAGCGCCAGCTGGCTTCGCTGCCCGACTGGGTGGGGTCGACGCGAGATGGACACGCGACGGACACCTCATTTCGAGCTGCATCATGTACCTCGCCGTAGCAGAGGCTAGCTCCGCAACGCAGCGCTGTGCCGCAAGGCAGTCGGGCGTCATCTCCTTGGACGGGGTTGACTCGTTTCGGTTGGGTTTTGCAGCGCTTCTGGCATTTAGCCGGGACATGCTTCATTTTCATGCTAGGCACAGGAGTCTGACTGTATATTTCGGATGATTTAGAATGTCTTCACTGCCTAGAAGGCCATTTCAAGAGTGAACTGAACATGATGTCTCACTCATGAACTCCTGCCAGGATCTCTGAGAGGAAGTAGCGTGATTGATGCCGCGTCATTGAGCACTGGGAGTTTCGGGGATGACAAGACTGTCCGAATGCGAATTAGTGGCATTTTCGTCTGTTGTCTGGTTGAACCTGATAGACGTGGGTGTGGCTTACTTTCGAGTACTTACTGAGGTGCGGCTCATAATGAGTTGGTCATATTCTCATGGGCTTCAAATTTTGGGTATTGGTCTTTTCTCTTGGCATAACCAAGAGTTGCGTTTTGAGTTGGTGCTCGTGGCATTGAACTCGTTCCAGTGTCGGCATCATTGCAGGATAGCTCTGTCAACAGATTGGCCAACAGGGTAGATCCACAGGAGGTGAATCGAGTTAAGAGATTAATCGCCGCAAAATGATTGGTTTCAAGTGTGAAAACTGTCTTCTGTAAAAACCCATTGCGGCCTGGCAACGCTGGCACCGCCTAAGGCTGTTCACTTCGTGATCCTTACCAGGAGCTCAACCAGGCAAAACCACCGTGACCAGGCACCCAACTGTGCACTGTTGCCATGACCAAACATAACCCAAGCCGATGCTGACGTAAGGGAGGCAGGATTGGTGTGGCCTGATTCAAGTTGAACCAACGTCGTCAAAACTGCGACTTATCCGGTTGACCACTTGACATTGGACATCAACAATGACTGTCCCCAGATGGCGTATAGTTCCACCCAGGCTTCCGGGCTGGCCGACACTGAACGCAACCTCCAGTCGATTTTCATGCGGCACGTTCGCCAGGATGACATGATCCCTGACAGGCCGGTTCGGTCGAGTATACACCCAGGACGAGGTGCTTCAGCGTCATGCCAACCCCCGATTCAGTACTTGAAAAGCCGAGTAAGTCTATAAACTCGCCGTCATCCCCTAGCCTTGCCCAACTTGAGCCTCGCAAGGTCTGATAATACACCGTATGTTGTAAAGCGCCTTCCGCGACCATTCTATAACAAGTTCCTCCGCCCCTCAGCCGATCTGGCAATTTCAAAAAGGCTTCGGCTGCACATTGATTGCAACCCAGAGAAAAACGCACTCATTTATCCTTACTTCAACGGCACGCTTCTCGACCTGGTCAGACACGACTCAGGCCTCGCAAGCACGCCACGGGTGAAGATACTACGCCACATCGCGGAGGCGATTCAGGAGCTTCACGCCAAAGACTGATTTCACATCGGTGGGCTTCTATCCCTTGGCCTGCCTGCCCCCTCAAGGACATTCTTACCGGGATGCAATAGACGTGAAACCCGACAACATTCTTGTCAATTGGACCTCGGACGCGCAGAATACCAAAACAGTCACGGACGCGGTCCTCGGCAACTTTGACGTCGCCCACAAGCTGGCACTGGCCGTTTGCGCCAGACACCGCATGCTATAGGCAACGTCATGTGGCGGAGCACGGAAGGGCAGACGGGCAGGGGCGTCACCAAGGCGTCAGACATCTTTTCCTTCGGGCTCGTGGTGCGTACAACGTCAGCCGTCCGATTTATTTGCTGCCAAAGGTTTGGCCATAGTGTATATACGCCCTTGGGGGTGGTGACCTTCTCCCGAATGATTACGAAGCGCTCGAAGCGGCGGGTATCACGCCGGAACATGAGATCCTCGCCCGACACTTTGCCTACTTCGGTCCCGCTCCGCCAGGGCTCTTGGAGCAGGTTGGCGACGAGACCTCGTGTGAAGCTCTGAAAAGAGCGTCGACGATCGCGGAGATGTCATGGAGAGATCAGCCCAGCCTGAGTTGAGTATCGGGGGAATGAGAGTCCGCACGCTCCAGTCCCTGTACTCTCACAACACCCCTTCCTCCTCGGGCCATACGCCCAGCACCTAACCATCATTCTCCCCGAACGGATGCGCCGGGATTTGCTCGATTGCCAACCCCGCCGCAGGGTCCGGGTTCGTCATGCGAGAAATCATGTCCTTCCCGCGCGGACCCGATTCGATCATCCCTTGTTACCATGCAGTACTGAATTTTGACGTGAACGTGTAGAACAGTCCAAGGATTCAGCTCGAGCGGCATCGAGAGGCCTCCAGCCTCTTCAAACTGCGAAGTCACCTGCATCATTGTCAGGTGGCCCTGCGGAGCTGCTAAGCAGGGTGATCGGTCAGGGGCTAAGGGTTACGAGAATGTGTATATAAGGAGCTGCGGAGGGCCAGACTTCAGACGGATTCCAATCCCCAACATATATACTTATTGCCTGCGTACCTCGTGGAAGACGTTCTCACCCTGCTCCACATCAAGCACTGACAATACTGTCAACGTGGAAGATGCCAACGTGGATGCCCTAGCGGCCTAAGCTTTCGCGCATAATAGCTCATACAAATACTGTTCTCGCGTCCTTGCCACCTGTACCCTATGTGTTTCCCATCTTTGAGAAAAATAAGAACTTCCATTATACCGACTCCCACAACCTGCTCCAGCATGCAAGAAGAGAAACTCTTCACCATCAAGGCTTATCCCATACCTGCCACTTCTGACAATACCCACTCTGTTTGAGAACAACTGACATTGAGTCATTTATATTATCGGACTTCTCCAGCCCGTAAGGAGTTACTCGGCCCTACTCGAGCAAGAGTTGTATACATATCATATCTCATTTCCAAACGTCATCTCTTGTTTTCATCCCATCCCCAGCATCCCTTGAGCAAATCGCACACGGCGCGCGTCGGCCGGGCATGCTCCCTCTCGGTAGCTCTCAGAAGCGCCAGCAACGCCTCCTGGTCCCTTCTGTCCTCGAATCGGTCGCCCGCCGCAGCCACGCCCATGCAGGCCGTGAACATGGCGGGCGGACACCATCGGTTGCAGGTGCCGATCCCACACAAGCTGCGTACAAGGGTGCGCGCCTGGGACGCGAGAGCGGCGTCGGCCGCGCGACGCTGGAGGCCAGTGCGGGGATGGGCGGGATCGAAGAGTGCTAGGTAGAGCTCTGCTAAGATGTGGTGTTGAACGGCGATGACTATTCATGTTAGTGAACTGGGCTGCTGCGTAACGTGAAGGGGAATGAGGCGCAGAGTTCTACAAAGTGATGTGCTTGGCCGGCAGAAATAAGGGAGACGCTTACTGTGACAGCCTTTCCAGTACCACACTTCCGGAAAGGCCTTCATGGCATCAGCCTCGGCATCTCCCGTCTCGGCAGCGTTGAGGTCTCTCTCGCGGTAAAACACAGGCATATACGACGCCGGCAGCGCGGCTTTCCAGTTCTTGTTCGCTTCGCGGAGAGCATGCCACCTCGGCCGGTCAGCGTGGTCCGGACCGAAGCAAAAATTGAGCACGTCCGCGCAGTGCACGATGGCTCGATTTGCCCAGGCATAGTCATCGGCCGGTGTAGTCGACCGGTCGACGACGGCAGGGTGGGCAAGGTTCATGCGCACCGGCTGGTGATTCATAACAGCGCTGTAGATTTCCTGGCGGAGCCCGACCCAAAAGCATGCAGCCGAGAGCGAATGTGGGGAGAGGGGGCTCCTCGGGCCAGGATCGGGCGTTGTCGGCGTGGGCGGGGCGGAATGGGGGGCGACAAAGGCGTGGATACCAAGGAGATGGCCGTGGGTATCCTGTCCGAGAACAGGCACGTCCATCTCCTCGAGGACGCGTAAGATGATGGTGGCGGCAAAGAGATTCTCATCTGATACAGTGACGGCGTGATCGAGTAATGGGATGAGGTAAGTGAGACACTGTTCGTGGTAACGGTTCGAAGCTAGAGCGTCGTATCGGAGCGTGTGCGCCAGATGACGGGCGGAGAGAGCAAAGATGGCGTTCAGCAGGATGGGGCAGGTCCCGGCGCGGGCAGGAATAGACGTGTTGAAGTGGGCGTCTGGGTCGCAGAGGTCGAGCTGAACTTTCGTTAGCTGCGGTAGCTATGACATGGCCATGCAGAGGGTTGGATGGTGGGGAAGACAACGTACCCAGATGGAAAGCTTCCGGATGTAGTGCCGGAACAGGACGGCCTCTTCACGGCTCTCGATGGGCCAGATGGGGCGTTCGAGGTAGATGTTGGACCGCAGCTGTGCTGCTTGAGCGTCTGGTGTGTGAGAGGCTGAAGGTGGCCGGGACTCTACCGGTGTCTGGTCCGATGATGCTTGATATGCCGTCTGTGATGCGAGCGCCAAATGTGACGAAGCTACCGGGTATGTCGTGGAGGGGCGATGCCACACCTCGTGGGCATCGGAGCTGCCGTTCTGATGGGCGCTGATCATCGTGGTGTCCTTGCCCCCCTGGTCTTCCATGTCGTGATCCGTATTGTCCCAATCTTCGACCCCATCACCCCTCTCGACGACGAACCTCAGTCGACCACCGGGCCGGGGCCACTTCTGTGCGCGGCCAAAGGGCGCATGCCGCAGGGCCTTGAACTTGTATCCCTTGACACACTCGCGCCCGCTGGCGGCACACCGCCCACAAGATGGCAGGATACGATCACCTATCTCGTCCGTCAGCTTGGGGGCTGCCTTTCAGGTTCGGAGCTTCCCATGAGGTGGAGAAGCGCACAATGGTTCATGACTTACATTTCAGATGCTGCTCCCGACACGGCTCACTGAGTTTGTATGTAGTCGTCAGTCGGTGCGGCTCTTGAAGAGGGGGGAAAGCACCAAAGGGGATATTCTCGACGAGAATCGCCAGTGTGGAGACAAAGGCAAAAACGGGCGAAATGGGGAGCAGATGAGATCGGACGGATGAGACTCACCATGTGGTCGCACTCAGCGAATCAGCAGCCTCGGGAGTCAGCATCCCTTGGGCGTGAAACCCGGGGGGGGGGGGACGTTGCTCAGGCGGGACTGCGCATGGGGGGGGGGTGATGATCTGGGGTCGACAAATCTGGAGGTTTTGGTGCTCTGACTTGTGTCTTGGTTCGGGAGAAGAAAAAGGGTGTCTCAATGAGAACGCGGGGAGAATTCACTTGTCAGTGGGAAGAGGATTTGACCAATAACTCGAGAAATGGGCAAGCGCTGTGAAGCGGCTCGTGGCACTGTGTGATCGGACGGTGCGGGCGTACATGCACTGTGGCGGCCTTCCACCCGGCAGAGGCAGTTGGTACCCTGGCAGCCTGGTCGGTGGGCAGGTGCAGGTTCAAGCAAGGCAAGAAGAGGGCGTACCTATCTAGAGGTACCTACCTAGGTAGATAGGTAAAGCAAGGTAGGCAGGCAGGCAGGCAGGCAGGTAGGTAGAATAAATTGCCAACGGCAGGAAACAACCGACGGGACACAGGCAGGACACGACGTAACAAGTACCGACTTGCAGGCGCCTCTTTTTACCCCACACTCGACAGCACTGCTCCCTGGCGCTGTCACGAGTCAAGCCGCGGGAGGGGAAACGTTGCAGTGTCGCCAGCACCAGTCAGAGACAGCGCAATTGGCATCCTCGTCGGTGAAAGGGGGGCTCCTTGACGCAATGAGGGGGAGAAGGAGAAGAGAAGAGGGGGAAGGCGAGGAGGGGATCGACCTAGGTACTGTAGGTAGTTGGAGATGCCCGGGCGCCACCTTCCCCGGACTTCGTTCCTTCTCTTCCTGGTTTTAGCTCCAGACCGACATGAACTTGGGCAGGAGGTACCTGGGACTATCACTCGAGTCGAGCGATGCAACACACTGGTGGGATCAACATAAATGCGCCTTTCCCCAGGCTTTGAGTTTTGCATCCATCATATCGCGTCTGTGTGCCTTGCTAAAACTGCTCCATCTTGTCATTTCATCCTCCCCTCTTCTTCTCGCCCTGCACCCAACCACGATCCGTGCCTCGGGGTGGAATTGTGGATTGCGTGGAGACCGCTCCTGATAGCGTCCTGTTTTTTTTCGCCAACCTCACAAAGACCCCCATCCGATCACGCATTTTGCACTTGCTCCCCACGCGCACGCGCACTTTTCCAAGACTCTCGCGAAGACCTCACTATCTCCTACCTACCCAACAATCAGCCTGTTTGTGAGCACTGGTGTCCGTTCTACGGCGATCGCTCGTGTCATCACTTGATCGTTCATCACCATGTCGGAAGACATCAAAGCTGTGGCCAACCATGGCGACGCCCGCGCCTCGGCCGAGTCCCATGCCGCTGCCGACGATGCCAAAATGTCCAACGCCTTCGTCCAGGGCGCCCGCGACGCCTCCAGCAGGGAACAGCAGATGACCCTCATGCAGGGCATCCGTCTCTACCCCAAGGCCATCGGCTGGAGTATGCTCATCTCGACCTGCATCGTCATGGAGGGCTACGACATTTCCCTCGTGTCCAACTTCTTCGCCTTCGACCCCTTTAAGAAGAAGTACGGCGAGCTCCAGGCCGATGGCACCTACGAGATCTCGGCCGCCTGGCAGGCCGGTCTCTCCAACGGTGTCGCCGTCGGTGAGATCATTGGCCTGTTCCTCAATGGTTACATTTCCGAGCGCTTCGGCTATCGCTGGACCGTCATTGGTGCGCTGATGCTGCTGACCGGCTTCATCACCATCTTCTTCACGGCCCAGAACATCGAGACGCTGCTCGTCGCCGAGATCCTCTGCGGTCTGCCGTGGGGTGTCTTCCAGACGCTGACCATCACGTACGCCGCCGAGGTTTGTCCCATTGCGCTTCGTGGCCACTTGACCACGTACGTCAACTTTTGCTGGGGTCTCGGTCAGCTCATCGGCATCGGTGTCATCACGTCGATGCTCGACCGCACCGATGAATGGTCCTACCGTATCCCCTACGCGCTGCAGTGGATCTGGCCCGTGCCCATCATGATCGGCGTGTACTTTGCCCCCGAGTCGCCTTGGTGGTTGATCCGCAAGGGCCGTGTCGACGACGCAAAGCACTCGCTTCTGCGTCTGACGAGCAAGAATACCGAGACGGACTTTGACGCCGATGACACGGTCGCCATGATGGTGCACACGGCGGCCCTCGAGGAGAAGATTACGGCTGGCGCGTCGTACCTCGACTGCTTCAAGGGCATCGATCTGCGCCGCACAGAGATTGTGTGTCTCGTGTGGGCCATCCAGAACCTCAGCGGCAACTCGTTCTCCAACTACTCGACATACTTCCTCCGCCAGGTCGGTCTCTCGTCGCGTGATGCCTACAGCTTCGCCATGGGCCAGTACGCCATCAACATGGTGGGTGTCTTTGGCGCCTGGAGCTTGATGGCCTGGGGCGTCGGTCGTCGTCGTCTCTATCTTTGCGGTCTCTGCGGTCTCTTCACCATGCTGTTCATCATGGGCTTCCTCGGCGAGGTGCCCGAGTCTCAGCGTGACAAGGGTGCTCTGGCGACGGGCAGCATGATGATTCTCTGGGCGCTCGTGTACCAGCTGACGGTCGGCACCGTGTGCTACTCGCTCGTGTCGGAACTGCCTTCGCGTCGTCTGCAGATCAAGACTGTCGTTCTCGGCCGTAACCTCTAGTACGTACCTCCTCGCAGTCTTGTTGATGCCTTTTTTTCTTGTTTTCGCTAACCAGTCGCAGCAACGTTGTCGGCATCATCAACAACGTCGTGACGCCGTACATGCTGAACCCTACGGCGTGGAACTGGCAGAACAAGGCGGGCTTCTTCTGGGCGGGTCTGTGCTTCCTCTGCCTGGTGTACACGTACTTCCGCGTGCCCGAGCCCCGCGGCCGTACGTTTGCCGAGCTCGACGTGCTGTTCGAGCACAAGGTGACGGCGCGGCAGTTTGAGAAGACCAAGGTCAACGTGTTCGAGGAGGAGGTGGCCGGCGAGGGTGTCATCAACAACTACCAGTCGCATGTGACGAGCCCCAAGGAGAAGGGCCAGGCGTGAGGTTGATGATGATGATGATGCTGAATTTTTCTGCTTTTCTTTCATTCGATATCGTCGACGTTTGGCGCGCGAGCATTTGGGGGTGGCGATTCGGCCACGGCCATGATTTTGTCCTTTATGGTGCTCGCAAGAATCGAGTCTTGGGGTACTCATGATCTATTGCCGATAACATTAGTCAAAACCGTAATGCATACTGTACACACATGATAGGATGCTGCATGTACAGGGCTGCGTGATGATGAGACGTCCGGGTGATGGCGTACGTACCTAAGTGACACCCCTGGCCCAGCCCCGGCGGGATCAGCGACGTCTGGGCCACTGCCGCTTCCAGAAGGAAGGCGAGGACGTTGAAGGTTTGGTGTTTCGGCCTTCCCCCCGTGCCGGTGAGGAGAAATGCGACCCCTGGGCGTTGGAGAATTGGGGTAGCTGCGCTGCAAGGCGCGCGGGTGACAGGTAACCGGACCCAGCCATCGGGACGAGTGTCCAAGGCTGAAGGCATCGCCAGAGAGGCCCGGAGGCGGCGGGTGTCGACTAGGCCATTGAGTGACCTTTGGCGACGAGCGACGAGAGACGGTCGCCGGTAGATCAGACGACGGCAGTTGAAGCGAGAGAAAACAAAAAGAAGCTCGACCGAGAAGAGGCACACCACGAAGTGAAAAAGGTGTGAGAGGAAAAAATCAGATGGCGACGCAAATGCACGACGACAGGTTCGTGGGTTGCTGTGGGCTGGGAGTGGGCACGATGAAGCAATGGCGCCGTGGATGGGAGGGGACTCTCGGGATCCAGGACCTGTTCTCGGGGGTTATATCTCAATCTGTCGGGGGGAATTACCTCTCTGTCTAGTGAGAGGATAAATCGCCGAAGAGGGCATGCCGAAGCTTTTCCGTCGCCCCACTTGCTTCGAGACGCTGAAATGGGGACATTTTCCCCGACATCCAGATCGCGACTGTTAAGACATCCCGTTTCTCTTTCGTCCGGGCGATCGCCTGGCCCGTCACGATCCCCTCTTGGGGCCACTCACGCCGCCGGCTTTGGTCACACAGGATCCCTGGCGGGGTGAACCCCGCGCCAGTCGCCCTCGGCGAAGATGGCCTTGTTCGACGCGGAGGGGGGAATAGGACCAGGCGCGAGGCGAAACGGGCGAAAATAGGACACGCATGACTTCACAATTGCGGGTAACGAGGCATCGTGTTGGTGGCAGAGCTGTCGTGCGCACGTTGGGTCATCTCCACTGGGAAATCTCGTTCGACGGAGGCACGTCAGAATCAGGCACAAGTCGCTGCAACATCGCCCGAGTGGACTTGTTTGGGAAGAGGACGAGGATCGGTATAAGAGGATCGAGCAAGGCTTCTCTTGGGCATCTCGTCAACATCAACTTCATCTCTGTCCTTGTTCCTCTTCTTTAAAGAGATCATTGTCAAACTCAGCTTAAAGCCCAGCACACCATGGTCGCAACACAAAAGCCCTTTTTCCAGGCTCCCGCCTCGCTCGACGCCCACGCGCTCGAGCAGGTTGAGGACGCCATTGACCACGTCAACATGCTCAAGGGCAAGCCCGGCAAGACGGCCAACACAGCCAAGCCCGCGGCGGCGGCAGCAGCAGCACCCACAACCTACGAGTCGTCCAAGTTTGACGCCGAAAAGGACAAGACGGCGTTCCGGCAGTACGAGTCGGCGACGGACCGCGTCAAGACGTTCTACCAGACGCAGCACGCCAACCAGACATACGACTACAACATGGCGATCCGCAAGCAGTTCGCCGTGGACCTGTC